TGACACAGTCATTAAGTGAGATGTCATGTGACCATGCCTGATTTCATATTCATTTTTGCTGTGGTCATTGAGTGAATTATTGGTTGTTAAGTGATTCTGGCTCCCCGCAATTGACTTCACTCGTCAGAAACCAGCTGGGAAGGTGGCAGATAGCAATCATGTGACATCGTTGCACTCACTGTGAATATATACTGGTTTCCAAGATCCTGGATTGCAATCACATGACCACAGAGATCTGCAATGGTCATAAGTGCGAGGACTGGTTTAAAGTCAATTTTATCAGCACTATTGTAACTCCAAAGAATCACAAAATCAATGGTTGCAAGTCAAAGACTACTTGTAATTGAAGGCCAGAAACTGTTTGCTGTCTTCGGAGATCTGTCAGCCTTTCTAGGCAGACCAGACAGGAAATATGGACCAGGTGAGCTAATTCTACCTTACTGTAAAGTTATATTATCAGAGTCTTGCAAGCCTGATAGTACAGATTCCCCCTCTTTATAGCCTGACAAGTTAGGGGGATTCTTTTCTGAGTTTCTTTTGTTTGCCCATTAAGCACCTGCGGACCACAACCCTTCCTTAATTGATCCTTCTTTAGACCAGAGTCCCCCAACCTTTCTGTCTTTGTGGACTGGCAGGGGTGGACGGTTCTAGGAAGAGAGGACGGTTCCACATGAGCAATGGGCAAGTGTGTGCAGCAAGTGTGAGTGGCATGCATGCATGTGTGCTCACCCTGCTTGCGCAGATGGGATGCAGGCATGCACGCTCACCCACCACTTCTGCGGTGCAGTTCCAAACGGCTCAAGACACCCAGCAGTGTGCTGAGGCCCAGGGGGTGAGAACCCCTGCTTTAGACAGCATCTCTTCCCTCTCCTCCAAAGTCACTCATATACCATTACAAGACCTGATTGTAGGTTTTGATTCCCTAAGCATTCTGTGGAAGAAATTGGCCAACTGAAACAAAGAATCCAAACTGTTGCTCCTAAATAAGGTCCTATAGTTCAACATCCACTTGAAAGTGTATACTGGTATAAATGGTTCTTTATTTCAGAGTATACTTACCCGTAAAGATTCATAGAATCACAGGGCTGGGAGGGACCTTGGAGGTCTTTAGTCCAACCCCTGCCCAAGGCAAGAGACCTTATTGTATCCTGGACAAATGGTTGTCCAATCTTCTTGAAGACCTCTAGCCATGGAGCATCCACAACTCCAGGAGGCAAGCTGTTGAATCTTGAAGAAGCATATGGGGAATGACAAGAATATGTCAACCCCCATGATCAGAGTGGAAACAAATATTCATTTCATTCATAGACACTCAATAATCAAAGTTTTATGTATTGGTAGAGAATCCATTTAATGGCTACCCAAAATATGTTTTGCTGAATAAGTAAGTGTGATTCAGCCCACTTCCTGGGTAAACTGACTTACCAAGATTATCTTACAACATTTTGTAAAACAATAGCATTAAAACATAAGGTTTTCCACCTAATATTTATTCTCAACTGCCTTCAAGGCAAAGGAAGGAAATTTTTAAGTAGAGCGTCCTTGATATTAGTCTCCAACAGACATGAAATTATTGGCCCAAAAAATTAAATTTGTTGGCTATGAACAGAATAATTTTCCAAACCAAAAAAATACCTTTTGATGAGCTTGATGTAATTCCTAAGAAGGCCTATTCTGGAGCAAGATTTGAATTGTTGAATTTCATGACCAAATATGGGCACTTCCATGACTTGCCACATCATGAGAAGATGTGTATAAGCAGCCATCAAAGATATTGCTCATATTTTGGTTGATTGTCAATTGTATGCCTCTTTTGGGCTTAGATATTTACTTGGAAGAACAATCCAGTGAGAACTAAAACCTATTTCTTCTTAAGGTCTAACATATGAGCAGAACTGGTAAGTTTATAGACAAGGCAGTTCAGCTAAGAATCTGTTATAGTGAACATCTCAAGTTATCATGCAAAGGTGATATATTTATCTGAACTTGATTCTTTATGTTAAGCACATGTGGATTTTATTTCACCTATTTTTTTCCTCGAGATAGACCTTGGATTTTACTTTATTTTTATTTTCCTTGATATGGTTGTAAGTCTAATCTATTTATCTATCTATCTATCTATCTATCTATCATCTACCTACCTATCTACCTACCTATCTATCATCTATTGGAGGCATTAGTCATCTCCCACAGCCGTCTGAACCTGGTGATTTTTGAATCTGCTAAGAATGGTTTGAATGAGCAAATAGTGTATTTTGCCTGTCTGCACAAAACTCTCCATATGCTCACAATAGCATACTGAATACAATCTACATGAACATAAATATATTAGCTCTCAGAAGACTCATGAAAATAGATTTCTAGTTGGTAACATTTGTTATTCATCAACCTGAGAAAGAAGATCTGCCTTAATGTAAAATCCAAGCTGGGAAATTAGAACTCCCATCTCTGCATGAAAAATAGGCAGGAGCTGGAAGGGAGGGAAATTATTTGAGGGGAACTTCAGAAATAATCCAGTAAACTGCTGAAGAATGCATTGTAGGAATATATAAAAAGACAACTTGAATGCTATAAATAAGCTGTGCTTAATATTAATATTAATATTTCCTTATTGCTAAGTTGAAGTAAGGGCCTCCATTCTGTCATAATATATTTCTGTTTTCAATGCAGACATATTTAAGTTCTGTTGAGTCTTGATATACAAGATCTCTCTATATCCCAAGCCTAAGACAAGTGGTGATTTTTGGAAATAGCAAGACCTCAGTTTAGTTTTGAATACAATGTATAATTTTTCCTGGATTCTTTCCCTCATTGTGTTTATTTTAATTAAATCTTTGTCCACTAATTAATGTTTTACTACAAATGATATAAATTGAAGCAAATAATGTAAATGTGTTTTTAATGGGTGCACTTTCTTCTGGAAATGGTCCATTAAATTGAGCTTTATCATACTTTTCAACTGTTTTGAAAGAAACTTGATTTTGACCATACAGTAGCTCCCAAAGGTATCATTTCAGATTTAGACAAATTATATGCAATATTATTTATTAAATTTATATCCTGTGTTTCTTTCAGGAACTTAAGACGGTATCCCAGGGTATTTTTGTGCAACAGTTCCTATAGTAGGTTGATCTGAGAGAGAATGATTCCCCCCAAAGTTACCCAGAGATGCCTGGGCTGACTGGCTCCCTTTCCTAATCTGGCTATCAATAGTAAGATCTCACACATACCTGCACAGCTCACCTGGAGAGCATTTCTGATTCTCTGTGCATACCTATATGGACCATGAACTTCCTTGACCAACATTATTTTTGCTTTTCCATGGAGGATACGTATAAGACTTCAGTCGAGATATTCTCCCACTTCTATCTAAGTGCCAAATTCTCATTGGAAGATCTTCACCTCTGGGACTTTTGAGCAGAAACCATCTGTTTTGAGAAGCCCCATTGCTTAGCATAATGCAAGCATTTACAATAAAGCCAACACTTCAGGGGAAACACAGGGAACAGTAATTCAGTTCTTGCACAGTCAGTTAATAATAAAATTAAATAGCTGTTCTCTCTTCTTATGTTCCCCCTAAAAGCTAATCTTCCGGACCGCGAAGGTTTCCTTCTGGTTGTGAGAACCATTTCTGACAAGATGGTTTGTTCCTTTCCTCCCTCACCCCTCCCTCAAATGTGCACACTTACATGCCTGTTCACATGGAAAGAAATGTTGCATATGTTATTTATCAAGGTATAGTGAGCAGAAACCTACAAGTTATCCTTGTACTCATTCTCTACCTTCCCAATTGAAAATGGAAATATCCTAATGCTAATAGGGCATTTAAATATGTGACTTCTCTATAGCTTTCCTTCCTTTCCTCTTGTAAATTGTGTGCTTGCTTGCTTCTGTAGAGGGCGAGGGAGAGACGCTGTGAACATATGTTGAGGGTGGGAGATTTGTTAAATTCCTGATCTTTGCAGGAGGTGGCTAGCTATTTATAGCGGTCACAGGGTAAAGCTTTGATGATCTTCCTCATTTTCTTAAATCCACTGTTTGGTTGTTTATTATTATTATTATTATTATTATTATTATTATTATTATTATTATTATTATTATTATTATTATTAATTTATTTATTATTATTATTATTTAAGAGCTGGTTGGTCCTGTTAGGTGTTTCTCTTGTGTCCTGAGGCAGAATGTCTGCTTCTTAGAATCCTGTGCTTTCTCATGACTCTGAGAAGTGGCTGTGTGTGTCTGTAGAGGAGGAGGTGTCCTCCGATTTATTGGCTGATTTATTATGTACCATAAATACAATATAATCTAATATACTTAGTAAGAGGTATCCTGTAGCTCTCAGTTTTTCAACATCCCTCGTTTATCTCTTACACATATAATAATTACATAATAGTTACAAATGGGATGGCATGCATTCTTCCTAAATGTTTTTTTCCTATCACATACAAAGTTACCCATTAGAAGCCTGCAAATAACCTGCTTGTAGTTACAGTACAGCACATTTTGTACAATACAATAAATGCACTTTGGAGTGATCCTTCCATTATCTTGCAGGCCTACGTTAATGATACTTACCAATAAGCTATTTTTAATCTATGTAACAATGATAACCTTAGGGCAATTTAGAACATATTTATAACTTTCTCTTATAACTTGTCTCTTCCCCAAACCCCAAAAACTTTAACCTTAGACTGTCTACTATTGACCTCACCCCCTTCCTAAGAGGTCTGTAGGGGGCGTGCATAAGCGCACCAACGTGCCTACCGTCCCTGTCCTATTGTTTCTCTTATTCTTTTATTTTTCTTATATGTACCCATTTCATGTATTCACAACTATGTATACGCTTATACTTATTATCTTGTAAACAATTGGCAAATCAAATCAAATAAATAAATAAATAAATAAATAAATAAATAAATAAATAAATAAACTTATTTTTAAGTTTACTTTTAAAAGTATAAGCTGATGTCATTCTCCCTTTTTTTTTTAATTCACAGAGAAGATCCAAATTGGCCTGTGCCTAAACCAGGACCTTTTGGTGCCATGACATCAGGTAAGTTTGACTTCTTTTTTGTTCCGAAATGCTAGGAAAAAGAGCTGTAAGTGTATGTCAGTCAGCATATTCATCTGCACAACTAGTGGAAAACATTTCTCCTTCCTGTCCTTAGACATTGTATGTATGTTACATCATTCATGACAAATACATAAAGATTTTCTCATTTCGGTAGTAAGAAAACACAGCTGGGAAAGGTGCTTCCATGCACAGCTGTTTCAGCTAAAGATTTCTGCTACTACAATGGGACCTCAAGTGAAAACAGCAGTCTGTATTTCACTGATATACAGGCAGATATAACATAAGGGAACAGCAGTCAAAAGGAGATCATTTTCAATAGGAAACTGGAACAGGCCACAGATTTAACCTAAAGGCACAGTTCAAAAGCCCATTGCAGATCTAAGTCTTCTGGCTGGTACCCTAGTCACAGGTTTATTACCTCAGAGCTGGGGATCCAGGGTAAAAACAAGGCATCCCATTTGCTTCCTAAATCCACTGTTTCCAATGTGATGGAAAGTCTGATTTTAAAAATAGTATAAAGAAATATGCTGGGGAGAAAGAAAGAGACTCTTCCAGGTGGACCCAGCAGCTATTAAGGTCCTCAGTGGGTTTGTCCAGGACAACAGCTTTGCCCAGCAAGCATTTTTATAAATCTGTACACCGTAGAAAGTCATTCAGCCCCTTTATTGCTTTGAAGTATTGTGAGTTAATGTTGCTATGGAACCGAAAATAAAGGTAGTGCTAAAAACATTCAGCAAATGTAGTTACGGTTAGGTGCTCCATTAGCAGGTTTAATAAAGGGCATACAGTATTAGGGAGAGAAATCAAGCTGTCAGCATGCAAGAGAATGGTTAGAAATTGCTAGTTCCCAACCAAACAACACTAAAGATCAGTTTTGCACAATATGGTAAGTATTTAGCTCATTAGGGGACCAGGGCCTGTTACGGTGATTTCACTAGCTGCTTTCTATGTCAGTAAGAAGGGTCAAACTTATACTTACTTAGAATCTCTTTTCTGATAAAACAATTCGTTTGCTGAAAACCATTACTACGGTTAGAACTCCTTGTAGGAGTTTGATTTTTAATGGATTTTAATGCAAATAAATTGAGTATTGAATATGGTTAAACAGTATAGTCTTGAAAATATAATAAATAAACCACTGTTAAAAGGAACACTGGAAGAATGATGATTGAAAATTCTTTAAAAATTGTTTTGTTTAATGGACATTTTGAACATTAAAAATTACAAAGCATGCAAGCCAAAAGATAGCATCCTACTAAAAAAGAAAAGATGGAAGTCTTAACCTACTGGTAGAATACAGATAGTTCTTTCTTAATTGGCAACTCCGTTGCTAAGCAACACAGTCATGAAGCATGTTGTCATGTGACCACACTGACTTAGGATAGTAGTTGTAGCAGTTCCAGTTGCCATTGTTAAGTGAATCCTGTGTGTATTCCTTATTCATGTAGTTGCTATTTGCAACTCCTGCTGCCTTCCACAAGTTCCCCATTGACTTTGCTTGTCAAAAGCTAGCAGTGAAGGTTGAAAATGACTGCAGTTTGCTGCAACCATTGTAACTGTGAGCTAGTTGCCAAATGTCTGAGTTGCAAGGGACTGCAGGGACACTGTAATGGCTGCAACTGTGAGGACTGGTCATAAATTTCCTTATTCAGTGCTGTTTTAACTTTGGATAGTTACTGAATAAGTGATCGCTGAATGAGGGCTATCTGTCTGCATCCATATGTACATCAGTGAGGGGATAGATGGGGGATCAGTGGTGGTTTGCTACTGGTTTGGCCTGGTTCGGGTGAACTGATAGTAAAAATCACTACCTGTTAGGCCAAGTAGTAAAAAGCCTCTGATCAGCTGAGAGGAGGGGAAAAACCTCCTACAATCAGCTGAAACGATAAAAGACCAAAAAGTGCATGGAAGGGTGGGAGGGTCTTAGCTGATTGGCTTGTTAGGTGTGCATGAGTCAGGGGCGCATATGTGCATGTGCACATGGGATCACCCACCAAACCGGTAGCTACTAAGGTAGGATCCCACTACTGATGGGGAGGGAGCTCATCAACTTTGCAGATGAAACCAAGCTGGCAGGAATAGCCAAATAGGCTTAAGATACAGAAGGATCTTGATAGACTTGAACACTGGGCCTTATATAACAAAATGAAATTCAGTGGTGAGAAAAGTAAGTTTCTACATTTAGGCTAAAAAAATCAGACGCACAGGTATAGAATAGGTGGTAATCTTGGAGTCCTAGTGGACAATTACTTAAACATAAGCCAGAAGTGTACTGCAGCTGCCAAAAAAGCGCCAATGCAGTCTTAGGCTGCATTAACAGAGGGTTAAAATCAAGATCATGTGAAGTGTTAGTACCATTTTATAAATGCCTTGGTAAGAGCACACTTGGAATATTGCATCCACTTTTGACACCACAATATAAAACAGATGTTAAGGCTTTGGGAATAGTGCAGAGAAGTGCAACAAAGATGATTAGGGGGCGGGAGGCTAAAACATATGAAGAATAGTTGCAGAAATTGGATATGTATAGTTTAATGAAAAGAAGGACGAGGGGAGATATGATAGCAATGTTCCATGTCTAAGGGGCTGCCACAAAGAAGAGGAAGGGTCCACCTATTCACCAAAGCACCCAATGACAAAACAAGAAGCAATGGATGAAAAATAATCAAAGATGAAGCAACCTAGAACTAAGAAGAATTTTCCTAACAAAACAATTAATCAGGGGAACAACTTGCCTCCAGAAGGTGTGGGTGCTCCAACACTGGAAATTTTAAAGAAGAGATTGGACAACTATTTGTCTGAAATGGTATAGAGTTTCCTGCTTGAGCAAGGGTTGGACTAGAAGACCTCAAAAATACCTTTCAAGTCTGTTATTCTGTTTAGGTACCTGCTAATCTCTCTTCCCAAGGTAGAGATTTCCAGAACACAAGTGTGACTACTGAGGAGGCCTTTTCTCTTGTCACATGCCCTAGATGAAGCATTTTACATCTTGCAGTAGGAGCTGTCTTGTATAACAGAATTCAAATGCACAAGATTGGAAGACATGCGAGGAGTCCTAATGGAATGCCAGCTGAAAATGAGCAAGTAATATGCAGTAGCTAAAAAACCCTATGCAGTTCTCGACTGCATTATCAGAAACATTGAAGCATTTTCTCAGAACTACAAGAAGTAAGTGTAGTTTTCACTGGCCAGCCCATATTTGGGAGTTCTGTATTCAGATCATGCGGTATCAATATGCACCCAAAAGAGGTGGGGCTTTCACCATTTTGCTCTTCTCAACCCCATATAGCTTTTCATGAATTTGATAGCACACTATAAGCAGCCTGATGATCTTATGTCTGACCTCACAAAGTGAGTGAGAATATCTACAGATCTTGTTTCATGCTAACCTAAGGGTATTTTGGTTCAGGCCTTACTGACCTTTCCATATGACATGCATAGGGTCAGATACTAATTAAGATATGGCCATAGTGGCATGGTGGATACAAACTGCTGAGCTTCTCTTGATTGGGCATTCTTAGCATGGTCATTGAACTTCCCCAGGACAAGAGGCTGGATCACAAGATCACTCCAGGTAGACAGCTTCACAAGGGCTGTTGCTAGAGAGCAGGGAGCATTGTGAGCCACAGTGTTTTGTTTCATCTTGGTCTCCCAGCCATAGCAATAGGACTGAAGACTGAAATTCCACATTGGCAGAATTTTGGATGGCACTGTTCTGACCAAGGCTTCCCGAGACCATAATTCAGCACATGTTTAGTTAAAACAAATCTTGTTTTATTTCAACACTGACTATTATTTTCATTCCCAGCTGGTAATGAGTCCCAAATAGTCCCTTCGAGATAAGAATTGCTGCCAGCAGCTAGAGTGCCAAATGAATTATAAAAAACCAATTGAAGTACAAAGTCCACACAGAGCTTCAAGGATTAATCCAAACGACTTTGCTTCCTGCAAAGGTTTCATCACCTTTGCCTGTCCTTTATCCCTATGGGAGTCGCAATCACCTCCTAGCCTTACTCCCGAGTTGTCCCTTCTGTTTCAGTTGCTCTTGCCTTCTAGCAGCTCTGCGCACTGGGAAGAGGCCCCTTCTGCCTTGCTGCTGCCAGACTCCGGTGGCTCCGGAGTCAGCACCCTACTCCCAGATGTTCCTGGCCCCATCTCTGCATCGGATGCAGGACCCTCATCCGAGTCCTCTCCAGGCTTCCGGACTGGTCCCCATTCTTCCCCACTGTCCAATTCCGCTGCCGTCTGCACAGGCTGCCGGAGAACCACAACAGGCGCATTGAGGCCCTTCTTCCACTTCCCTGTTGACCCACAGAGAAAGCTGGCAGGCAGAGGTGAGAGACATGAACTCCCTCTGGTTCCCCCTTCAGGCCTCCATGTTGTATGCCAAGTTAGCATTTTCATTCAGGATTAAGACTTGGATGAGAAGCTATGTTACCAGCAATTCCCGCTGATATGCATTGTGGAATAGGGAAGTCATTTTTCCTGTCATCATCATTTCTTTCTATCAGACTGAAAATTGATAAAAAAAAGTGAGACTTCTCACCTTTTATCTCTCTGCTCCATTTCTATTAAGTAATCTCAAGAATTGCTCCCAGAGTATTTCCTGTTCCTTTCTTCCTGCAATATAGTCTTCCAAGTCAGCTGCACTTGAAATAAATGCACACACTTTCAGAACTGACCACTGTCATATGCATATGCTCTCTTATACACGCATAAAATGGGCACCTTGGCTTTAATGGCAACCTGATCCCCAGTGCTGTCAGAAGTCTTGAGTCAACCATGATGGAGTAACAAGAAAAAGAAAATCTGATTCAACATCAGGAAGCTCAGGTGTTGGCATTGGTCAACCTAGGACCTCAAAAGCTAGGTTATCTGAGAGAAAAAAGTTTTGGAGATGGTTCCAGGTGGACGAATGATTAGTTTTCCTCTCATCAAGTCTCCTTCCAGGGGTTAGCAACCTTTCCTTTTCCTTAGAAACTCTGTTCCACACTCTTGACCAACCAGCTTAAGACTCATTGTTACATCTGTGAAAAAATTGTCACCAAATCCTCACGTACACAGGCTTTTGTATCATAGAATGTGCCAAGATTCCTTATTTTGAGAAACAACGTTATTATACTGAAGTTATCTGTATATCCACTTGTTAAATGGACTTGGCATTTGGTGGACTGGATTACAGTTTGCTGTTTGATTTCTTTTTTGTTCGGATAGTTTTTTTCTGCCAATTTTTGGGCCAAGTTTTAACTTTTGCTGTATCTTTTTCATGAATAATAAAATGTTTAATACCAGTAACTAATGAATTCATTATATGGTATATATAAATATTAAGTAAGAACATGACATTAAATTTAGAATTCCCCCCTCTCTCTTGAATGACAACTACATAAACTTCTCTTATCCAGGTTTCTTTGTCATTTTTGCTGTTTTTTTCTGCAGTGGGTACAGTTGTTTAGCTGTTTTACTAAGAATATTATACTGATCATATCTGCCAATTTTACAGAAACTGAAGAATCTGATGTTGTGAATGGACTAGCACTGAATATAAACCAACATGAGAAAGGTTTGTGGAATCAAAATATTTCCAATACTTAATGCTATGGGGCAGTTGCTGCTTTTTGGTATACTTATATGCACAGCATTTATATATACATAATTAAACTCCCAGGAAAAGCTGAATACTAATTCCTCAAAGTTAATAGAAAAATGAATGCAGACGAAGTATTTTTTAACTCATCCATCATTTCTGACATATCTGTGAAGTTTTTGTGGCACTTATGTGATTGTCCCATGTCCCAGGCTTCTTTCTAGCTCTGAGTTCCAATATCATCATAGGTCCAAGTTTGCTTAGCTTTTCAAGATCAGCCAAAGTCATCTAGTTGTTACATCAAATTCAAGGTACAGTTTGCCATTGCTGGATGGAGCAGATTTCCTGCTTGTATAGGATCAAACTGCCCAGAGTCATTGATGGGCAGCTCTGTAAAGAGTAGTCAGATACCATAAACAAACAGACGGATCAAAGCAAAATTGAACAGAAAATTTGTCAGTTAAAAGGCTATAGAGGCAGAACTGCAGTATAATTGCAGTTGAATGTGAGAAAAGGGAAAATCAACCAGTGGGAAGAATAGATATTGCCACTGTTAGAATTACCTTATTTTATTTTTAACTCATTGTCTAGCAATTAGGTATGTGTAAAATCTAGTGATTCTTTTTATTTCATCTGGATCATGTTAGTCTGTGATCCACCTCTTCTGAAGGTGGTCTGGCAGCTTTTCAGAAGTTCTTTGATGCTTGGGATGAAACAAGCCTGCTTTTGTTAGTAAAGAACTTTAAGCTTAATCTGTTTGTCTAGTCTACCCAGACTCATGCAGTACACCAGTCCTCAATGGAAGACAGGGTGGTAGCAATTGTTTTTTCTGCAGTTCTAATTTTCCATTGAAGTCTGTGTCTTTTTGTTGGGTTAAAGAACCAAACCAGACAGTTATAGAGGTGCAGATGACAGACTCAATAATTCCTCTGTAGAACTGAATCAGCAGCTCCTTGGGCAGTTTGAGCTTTTTGAGTTGGCACAGAAAGAAATTTCTTTGTTGTGCTTTTTTGATGACATTTTTGATGCTAGCTGTTTATTTTAAATCTTGAGATATGATAGAACCTAGAAACTTGAAGATCTCTACTGTTGATACTCTGTTTAGTATTGTAAGAGGTGGTAGTATAGGAGGGTTTCTCCTAAGATCTACCATCATTTCTAAGGTTTTGAGTGTGTTTAGTTTAAGATTGTTCTAGTCACGCCACGAGGCTAATTGTTCAACCTCCCATCTGTATGCAGATTTGTCATTGTCTTGAATGAGACCAATCATGTTGTATCATCTGTAAACTTCAGTACTTTAACAGAGAGATCAATGCAGTCATTGGTATATAGAGAGCACACAGCCCTGGGGGTAGTGGCCCTGTGCTAGTTGTACAGGTATGTGATGTGATTTTGCCTAGCTTTACTTGCTGCTTCCTGTCTGTTAGGAAGCTTATGAGCCACTTACAAGTGTAGTCAGGCACAGCTAGCTGATTTAGTTTATTTAGAAGAATATCTGGAATGATGGTATAGAATGCTGAGTTGAAGTCTACAAAGAAGACGCTTGCGTAGGTCTTTGGGGATTCAAGATGTTGTAGGATGTAGTGCAGAGCTATATTAACAGCATCATCTGCCAATCTATTTGCTTGGTAGGCAAATTGCAAGGAGTCTAACACTGGATCCATGATGGCTTTCAGGTGGGCCAGCACTAAGCCTGTCCAAGGTTTTCATAACTACAGATGTTAGAGCAACCAGTTTGAAGTCATTCAGTTCCTTGATAGAGGGTTTCTTTGGCACTGGGATGATAGTGGAGTGTTTGAAGCAAGAAGGAACATAGCACATCTCTATTGATTTATTAAAGATGCAGGTGAAGATGGGGGCCAGTTGGTCAGCACAAGATTTTAGGTAAAAAGTTATCTTGTCTGGGCCTGGTGCTTTTCTGGTTTTTGTCTGTGAAATAGACCTTGCACATTTTTTTCTGTATATCACCAGAGGTGGGGGGGTCCAATGGGATGGAAACAGTGGTAGGAGGCTTGGCTGTTGTTGGTGTGTCTGAGATGGGGATTGTGGAGTTGGGTGGCAGTAGTTTCCTCTCAAATTTAGAGTAAAACACATTCAGGTCATCTGCCTGTTTTTTATATCATTCAGCATGGGAAGGAGGTTTGTTGTGATATTTTTAAGAGTTTTCCACATGTTTGCTGGTTCGTTTGCTGGTTCATTTGTTGAGAACTGATTCCTTAGCTTTTCAGATTAGCTTCTTTTTGCTGCTCTGGTCTCCCTTGTTAATACATTTCTGACTTGATTGTACAGCATTTTGTCGCCTTTTCTGTAGGCTTCCTTTTTGGTATGACATAGCTGCTTAAGTTTAGCTGTGAACCAAGGTTTGTTGTTACTGTATATTTGCAGTTTTCTGGTTGGCACACATAGGTCTACATAAAGTCTGACATATGATGTCAGTTAGTAGTTAAGAATTAATTGGACATTGGGCAATAAGTAAACATACCAAAAAAATTGACAGAGACTAGAAATAAATAATATATGGGGAAATATTCAAAAAAATTGAATTTCATATTTTTCAAGCTTAAAATGCCTTGTTTGGGTTGGTTTAAATTTGAAGTGATTGCAGTATTCCTGAAAGGGCCCCAATCCTGTTTTAACAATTATGGTAGTGTTCTACACTTGATAGAATACTTTTGATGAACTCAGAACAGCATTTTTAAACTCAGGATGGGGTATCTTGAACCCAAAAAGTTCAGATCTTAAACACAAGGTATTTTATAACTTCATTTTTGTGCTGAAATAAAGATGCAGGTTTACTACTTAAGTGCTAAAATAAAGATGCAGGCTTACTACTTTGATGAGGGAAGCACTATTATATTCATTCATTTAAGGAGTTAATTTGTTAGGCGTTACAGAGAGGTTGAAGAATGGGAAAAATTAAATGATGACTTATATTAATTGTTCTAAAATGCAGTGCAAGTATTTAATTTCTATGCATTCTTGCTTTATTCCCACTTTTTTAGTTTCATTATTTTGATTTGGAAATTTGATACTTGAACTGTTGGGTTATAACTGAGGAGTCGAGTCCCATAATCAAATCCTCACATAGTTAAGGTGTGTGCTTCTTGATGTTGGTAGTTACTAAGCCTCAGTGTAGCATGTCTCATAGGATTGCTATAAGGACAAGATGGAGTAGAATAGAATGATATTGGAAGAACAGCCATCTTGAAAGAAAAGCAGAAAACAAACCTGCAAAAGTGCTACAGAAATCTGTTTATATTACACAAACTTATGGGATGAGAAATAAATTAAACAAATTAAAGGATTGTGGATAAATCAATTGGCTTTAAGTTCAATAATGAAATAATAATCGTGTATATATCATGATTTTAAATTACTTTCAGGTCTCAATATATTTGAACCTTTTCTCCCCCTGTAGATCAGGAGTCCAGCAAAATCTGTACTGGAAAAGGAGCTGTGACCCTTTGGGCATCTCCAGCTTCTGAGAAGAGTCTCAGGGTTAGCCATCCAAAGTCTACACAAGACATCCAGCACACCAAAAGTAAGACCCAGTCTGGGAGATCATATCACAAAAAAGCAAAATGATTCACTGATCCTCTGATTCTTGATTGGGTTAACAGATAAGTCCCTGGTTTAAAAAGTGCAATCCCAAAATAAAGCATGTAGATTGTTAACTGAAATTTGCATGCTGGGATTGGATTGAATAATGTTTAGCTGAATGTCAAGGATGGATTAGAGAATATAATTGCAAATGAGCAAACATTTCAAAGACACAGTGCAAATTTCAGTGAAATAAAGAATCAGCACTTGAACATGAGAATAAAGACTTAGAAATTGAAAGTGTGCATTTTAAGTTTGTGTAAAATACTTGAATTCATTCTTTCAGGATTAGTAAAACAACTCACATTAAGATAATGTTTTAAAAGCAAACTTACATAGAAGCTCAAGAGATTCTGTTTTATTTATTTTATTTTACTGATCTTTTGTGGGAAGGGGAAATATCTTCTACTTGAATATCTACTTGATATCTCACTACAATGGCATTTTGTTGTGTTCACTTAGAAAGAAAGATATATATAATCATAGTAAACAAGCTCTGAGCAAGAATATTTAAATGGGTACAGAGCAGGACGTGCCATTCTCTAGGATATTTTTGTTCTCATGATGACATAGAGTCACTACACTATTCATTTCTGGGTAAGCACTACTATACAAAGTGTAGAAAAAAGGAAGAAACTGGAGGCAGAAGATAAAAAAAGAAAATTTAATTCAATGTAGCTTATTGTGTATTAGTTCCATTCACATAATGCCGTTCATTCTTGACTTTTGCTTCTTGTCTTGCCACAAACTTTTTATAAGTAAACTATACTCATTCATCTTTCATGTTTCTCCTGACATACTCTACTCTATATAATAAGGTGTGAATGTTTAATAAATGCATTTCTTGGAAAGGGATTTTATATTTCCCATGTTATCTTTTCTAACAGAGTTTAAAAAGTAGAAATTAACATTTCTCAGTTTTCTACTCTTTGGTAAGCATTACACCATGGTAATAATTTACTTGCTCTAATTTTTCACCATTTATGTATAACTTGCAATTGTTCACTGTGATGCTTCTGTCAAGTGCAACTTCAATACATGAAGTGCAGGTTCATAATCCTTGTTGCGCTGTTTCCCTGTCCTACCTTCTATTGGCTGAAAATCATTCAGGTTCTTGGACAAGAACACAGCATCTGCACATAAAAGTATGCACATTCATATCTCAACCAATATGGTGTTAAGGTTACCACAACCATTCTGTATGCATTTTTCCATAAGGAATCGCCAAGGGGAAACACACATCCTTGTGTTATTCCCTGTTCAGTGATGAATCATATCTTGTGGTGAATCAATTCCATATATTCTCATGCACTCTTTATTTCCACTATATACTACTCTTGCTATTCTTATCTTCCATGTTACTGCCTAAAGTCGTCCCCCACCCCCCACTACTACATATGTCATGACTCCGCAGCTGAATCAATAAGCCACATTTTTAATCATGGCTCCATCTATCACACTGGTAAGCAAAATTCGTAGCCCTTTCTTACCCTTTGGGTAAACTGATTGGAAAGTCCTTTGCTGTTTGCTTGCTGATTTCTCCACTGGTAATAATTTTGCTAAATTGCTAGTAGTAAAAAGATACTTCTTTGGTCTTTTTAGCTGCCAGAAAAAGGAAGTGGGGGGAAAACAATGCATTCCTTAAGTGCCTAGATAATCACCCTGGCAGCCCAAAGTTGTCGGAGTGGAAGAATATTACTGGAGAGCATGATTGATGACTCTTGGATATGGATGTGTCCCATTGGAGAATACACATGCAGGGGGTGGGGAAAAGGCCCGGGTTAAGGGGGAAATGAATGATGTATTTTAGTATTGGCTGCATCCAGCTAACACCAACATGGCCACTTCTAATAAATCAATTTTCTTTTCTCTGAGATGCAGCTAGAGACTTATGATTTGAATGGGGGTGGATTTTTGGAGTCCTGACAATTAGAAGACTCTGAGCACTGAAATTGGATATGTTTATTGGTTTTATCTTTTTTCTAATTTATAGAGAAATATTTGAATAATATCATCAATTTCTTTCTGTATGGGGAGTTTTTTTTAATCTCTAGTCATGAATTAATAATGTTAAAAGTCAATACTCCATGTCCTTTTGTGATGCCTTCTCATAGTTAGCAGTAGCCCTAGCAAGTCTGCTTGACCCTGCCAACTACTGCATAGCTGCTGGGGACAATAACATGCTATAGCAGCTGCTGCCCATCCCATAATCACAATTCTTCCTAGGCATGTTGCAATGTAGGAAATGGATTTTTAAATCATGGCACTGACATCCACAGTGTGCTGTTGAAGTATTTAGCCATCTGTTTCAGTTATAGTAAGGGTAATAAAGAACACGTGTGGACTTCAGCTCACAGAATTCTATGCATGCATTTGCATTTGTAAAATGGGAATGGAATTTTATGCATGGAAATGTAATTTATTTTATTTTATTCATGCATGAAAGGGCAAACTGAAACTTTATTCATGTACAAAAATGGGTAGAGTTTGGATAGATTTTGTTATGACCGAAGTCTGCAAAACCCTTCTGTTGTAACTCTACAACTGAATCAGAAGGCTACAGTTTTCTTTACTGCCCCCTTTATCACCCAATTCTGTTAAATCATTAACTATGTGCAGAGCTAGACATACAGTGGCATACAATTCTTGCTGTTGCATATTTTTTGTTGATTTCCTTGTGGGCTAGGTGCCAAATTGGAAGCTTGATCATGGATTTGCACTTGCTGTTACATATCATAGTACCTCAACTAATCAAGGGACATTTATATTATCCTCACAAAAATCCAGTGAGGATTTCTCTCTCCTTTCTTCTCTCCTTCTTCTTTATGCTTCTTTCAAATTCCATTTCCAACTTCCCTAGGGAGAAGAGCTTAGGGGCCACGGGTGCCTCTTCTCTGCCCCCTAACTCAGATTGTGCTTTTCATGTGTGCCCCAATCATCATCAGCAATTTACTGATGGCTTCCACTGACAAATCACTGAAAACAGTCTCTGCAAGGTTTAAAGTGAGGGAAAATAGAAATGAAAAATGGTATGAGTCTAAGACCTACAAGCTAATTTGAGTATGCAGTATATTCAGTTTAGCCATATTTTTAACCAATCAGTTTATTTTCTGAAATGTACATTTTCATCCTTCCTCCCCTTTAATGGCATGGAACAATTTATCTTAAGGAAGCAATTACAGGGCAACAGAACAACAGAACAACAGCAAATAGAATAGAATAGTCTAACAGAGTTGGAAGGGACCTTGGAGGTCTTCTAGTCCAACCCCCTGCCTAGGCAGGAAACCCTACACCACTTCAGACAAATGGCTATCCAACATCTTTTTAAAAACTTCCAGTGTTGGAGCATTTACAACTTCTAGAGGCAGGTTGTTCCACTGATTAATTGTTCTAACTGTCAGAAAAAATTATCTTTAGTTCTAAGTTGTTTCTGTCTTTGATTAGTTTCCACCCATTGCTTCTTGTCCTGCCCTCAGGTGCTTTGGAAAATAAATTGACTCCCTCTTCTTTGTGGCAGCCCCTGAGATATATAATAAATATAAATAAAATAAAAAATAGTACAGTAAATAAATAGTAATTATATATTAATAAATACTGCCTTTGCTGCCAAAGTTTTCATGACCTTCTAAACTTTTTGGAATAATCGAATTAATATTGGGGGAATGAAGAAGGTCTGTTTATTTAAGTGGTAAATTAGTACTATTTGTGCTCTGCTCTCTTATTTTATGTGTCCTTTTGAAAAGGCCTTTGACTATTTTTGAAGGCATGACATAAAATTAACTGTTGTTCAGTGGTTCAGAAAAGTTGATCATGCCTGATTTTTCAGGGTTTTTACTATGCAGCTTTCTTCATGCTGCTGCTGGTTGGCCTTTTTCCCCCATGCTCTTTCTATACATTTCCAGCAGCCCAAAAGGAATATTCCCTACCATGGAAATGAAATTCTTATGCTGATTCTCTTAGTTCTGTTTTGAAAAGTGTGTTGCTGAGTCAGGGAGATTATTTTTCTCATATTTTGAGAAGGATGGGAAAGATAAGTAGTGCCAAAGTCAAATATAAAAAATGTCAGAAGGAGTTAAAAGGGGGAGAGAGAGAGAGAGAGAGAGAGAGAGAGAGAGAGAGAGAGAAATCTAGCTAAGAAATTGGCAATGCTGTGATAATATTTCAAACAACAAAAAGGAGAGCTTGTAATTTTTACTGTTATGATTTCAGAGCAGTATAAATAAGGCAAGCATTTAAAGTGTTAACATTATGTTTCATGTTCTTGCTACGCTCCACAAAGATAGCATGTGATGCATCGGTGCTTTTAAATGCACTTGCTTGTTTGTAGCTCTCAATCATCTGGCAAGACTAATGAAGGACAGATACATTTTCCGCTCTCAGCCTGCATCATAGGTTAAATATTGAAATCTTCCATTTGCTGTAATGTGTGGCATTTGAAATTCTTACTGAGAACTCTGGCTGCCTTTTTGTGTGCTAGAATGAAATGTCAGTGAACAATTGTTTCTTCACTACTCTTGAGCTATGGCTTTGTGTCTGTAAAGGTCAAGCGTTGTACAGAGTCATGTTTCTATGGGAATTAGGCAGCCTTGCTGGAAAGTGTTCCATGGACATGAAGTAGTCCACTTCTCTGTTCTTCTCTCATGACTTAAAATATGATGTCTCTTCCCCTTCCTTATTCTCTCTGATACTTGTCACCAGTTCATTCAGCCGAACAGCAAGGAGAAACCAGCACAGGTAATTATTAAAGCTTCGGTTTTTACTATTTCCTCAAAACATCTGTTGTTTATGCAAGTGTAAATCTTCACCTTTAAGTATTGTTTAAATAATCTGAAAGTCTTCATTTTGTAGATGGCTGGAGAAGACTTCCTGGTGTTGACTCAAATAGGGAGATTCTGTCTGTGAAGGATTACTGGAGTGTGAGACCAAACCTCTCTGAGAGCAAGCCACACGTAAGTAGCTAGCTGGAAGCCTAGATGGATGCGAATAACATGCATGTGTCTTAGATGTATCTCTGATGTGTAATTTTAGTAATTTGTATTTATACTCAAGGAATATTACTTTTTGAAATTGGTATTTTTTTTAAAAAAACATGAACAAAGTTGTTCCTTGCTTGGTTGGTTTTCATGATTTAGTGTTTCCAAAATGATTTATTCAGTTGTTGCATCAGGCAGGAACTCAGGAAATCCTTCTGTACTTGGTCCACTGTGTTCTGGGTTCACCTGGAATGTGGAAAAGAATAAACTTGGAATCTTGATTATGATTTACCTACTTTCCAAATTATGTCTTCTGAGAATCATAATCTTAATCATCATCATCATATATAGGGCTGTGTCCATCCTCTTTCTTTCCTTTTTTCTCTCCCAGTAGTTAACCTTTTTCTAGACTAATTACACTGTTATTGTGATCAAGGTTAGATAATTTGCTTTTAAATCTGAGAGTTTTGATATCAGACAGATTCATTATAGAAGTAAATCTTCTAACAAGATTTACTTCACTACAGTGTAAGAAGCTGCAGATAATTCTGTGATTCCATGTCCAATTCTATTTAAATATACTTTACAATTGTTCTTAGAGCCTAAATTTCTCTTGGCTTGTTTGGTTTTGGCAATAAAAGTATGAATTTATTACATAGTAATGATAAAATAGCTTTAACTGAATGTAATTTTATTTTAGATTATTTAGGAGAAACGATAGTTTATCACATTCAGACATGAGATTCACTTTTAATCAGATACATTTTGTTATGGCATCCTAGGTGTTTCAGCTTGTTGTTATGAAAGCATATTGCACTCTTATTTTATAGACTCATATAATTCTAGGGTTTGAAGGAACCCTGGTGCAATCCATCCAGGGCAGGGCTGTCAAACTTCTGGCCCACGGGCTGGATGTGTCATGTGCTGGCCCTGCCCCCACCCGATTTAGTGAAGGGGAAAAAAGTCCCAATACATCATGTGATGCCACTGTGATGATGTGAGTTTGACACCCCTGATCTAGGGGAAGAACCCTCAGACCATCTTAGACAAATGGCTGTCAAACTTTTGCTTGAAAATCAGGTTGGAGACTCCAAAGCAGGCTATTCCACCGTTTAATGGATCTCAGTGTCAGGAAATTTCCTCTTATGTCACATTTAGATGATTCTCTGTAAAACTTCTTGTATTCTTGGGTACTATAGAGATTATATTCACAACTTCTTTCCTATGATAGCCTTTCAGTATCTCCCCTTTGCTGTTTTTTTTTTAGCTCAACATACCTAGTTCATTTAACTCTTCTTCATGGGATTTGGCCTCTTGGTTTACTATCTTTCATGTTCTTCTCTACACTTTCTAGTTTCTCATCATATTTCACATTTTGTGGAAACCCCAAGGACTCCTTTGCAAATTGAGCACACAAAACCCCTAGGGCCTAAGCTAACCCTGGGAATATGATTTTTTTTAAAAAGCCAAATGTTTTTCAGTAGCATCCTCAGTAGCATACAGGGCAGGAGGTGCAACAAAGAACACAGTTTTATTTCTAATACTTCTTTCTATTTTAGATAAGGGCCAATGTAAGCAGCTGGCACAAAGTGACATGTGAGGATAGAGGGTAATTTAAGTTGATCTGTTGATTGATTATGATATTTGAGAGCTATGTGAGAAGTTGTCATCTACATAAAATGTGCTACTTTGGAAAGTAGCACATTTTACTCTACTCACATGAGCAGGTCTTTCCTTGTAGGGATTTTTAATGTCCTGCACCTCTCTACTGTTGTTATCTCAAGATATTGTCTCCCACAGGCTGCCATTTCCTCTCCTACCATCTCAGTTCAAACTGAGATTATAACAGGGCCTTTCCAACAGATTCAGCCAGGCAGAGAAGAATCCAGCCCAAGCACATCACCAGCACCTCTCCGCCATTTTGACCAAGGTTTAGCAATTTCAAACAACGTGTCTTCTGGTTTCCTTCTGGCCCTTCCAACGCTAGATGATTTTATTCCCCCTCACCTCCAGAAAATTTCCAACCACCAGCACCCATTGTTTTCACCTCAGTCTGCACTACACACTCATGCAAAACTACCTTCACTCTCATCACCACCTCCTCTACTGATCCCTCCAGCCACAGAAACCTCAAGCAGCATTTTGGAGACTGAAAGCACAGGAATGGTCTTTCAAACAGTAAGCCTCATTACACCCACGCTGAGTCTACTGCTAAATAAGTATCCCCAAGTTGAAATCACCTTTCACTGGCATACTAAAACTAGACTTTCGCACTTTTTGATAGTGGCATGAAATTTTGCTTCTGTTCTGTGGCATGTATATATATTGTTTGTCTCTTCTGACCTCAAAACTCTTCCTTGTATAATATTCCATATTGTCCTCTTCTCTTTTTCCATATTTGAAAACTCTACATTTAGCTGTAACCAGCATGTTACAGCTAAAATGCATGATAGAAGCCTTAGATTATGAATGAGGAACATCTGGATTAATTGTCCACAGGTTTTTTCCATATCCTCAGGAGGTCCTTCTCTACAGGGCAGCACCTTTCTCCATGGAAATCATAAACTGTTACATCCACACCTTTCCTACTGCACAGACAAAATAATTGAATCAGATGTGTTGCAGGGAGAGAAAAGAAACGTTTTCATCCAGAAATGGCACATGATTTCCCTTCCCTCTGAGCAGAGAAAAGAGTCATCCTAAATGACGTAGGAGAAAGATGGGCCATCCTCAGATATGTTCTCGCTGGAGATATTGTGGGAAGTAATCCAGATATTGGGCCAGGCAAGCTTTATTATTCATGGCTTAGGTTAGAAGTGCAAAATTGAGGGAGGTTGCAATAAGGGTGTGAAGTGGACCTTCGCGAAATGATTATAACAGAAGAACTTCACAAAATGGCTGTTTAAGAACCAGCCATAAAACACCCTATTTGGCTAAAGGCACCTTAGATCTAAGTTGCTCTGTAGCATACCATTGGGATTGAGTTAGATGGAAGTATCTGATGTCTTAGAACAGATTGCCTTTCCTTTCCTTAGAACATACTGTGCCAGGAATGTTGGGAAATATGCAGTGCATTATTTGTGGAATAGCCTTTGAAGGTGGATCAGAAATATGGCCAGAGTAGAGGAGAAAGGGTGGTGATTGGATGTAGCAGCCCTGTTATATTTACAACCAGTATTAAATTCTACTTTATCCATGGTGGGACTTCCTCATGGAACAAACTGCACATAAAGTTAAATGGGTTTGAAAACCAATATTTTTATTCAAGCCTCTAAGAAATGTTTAGGAGAATTATGTTGCTGGTTTTGAATTTCAGTTTCTCCATCCATCACTGAATTCCAAAACCATTTGGGAATGGACAGAATGTAAACCAATACAAATGAAACTAATACATGCAAACCCTCATCATGTTTAACACTCTTTGGGTTTGTATCCTCAAAGTATTATCAGCCCTTTTTGAGAGTAGCAGTTTATGCAGTTTTTATTTACCTGCCACACTAGTTTTCTTTTGCAAGATGCATACATACAAAAATATACATAAAGTCCAACTTCCCACATCTTGCCCTTCAGGCAGACAGACAATGATTAGAGGTTTGAATGTCTTCTTCTCTCTGGACTAAAGTATCGTTTCCATCCATACCATGTGTGGGTATGTGAGGCCTCATAATTGGTTCATCCCACCTGAACATCACCATTAGCTGTGTTATGGTTGTGGAAGGACCAAAAGAGCAAGCCAAGAGTGTTGAGGATGGAGGGATTGTCTGAGACCCACTGCATTTGAGGTGGTTCAGGAATGCACAGGGTCTCCATTACTTTGAGTATCATTAAAGTACTGCTCTAGCCCTGAGAAAGAGGCATCCAATTATCTCAAAATGTGAACAGCATCAATCAAAGGGTAATGAGCCATTCAGCCACATCAGTCTCTTCCATAAGCAATGACATTCCAGACAATATAAGCAAAGACTCGGAGTGATTCATCCAGATAAACAGTTATCCAGTTATGGATCAGAAGAAGTCTGGTAGCACATTTTTCAACTCACAAATTTTAAGGGATAAGTTTTCATGAGCTGCAGCCATTAAATTGTAATGAGTTGGGGAGGGAGGGGAAAAAAGGAAGACAGGTGGTTATGCAGATCCAGGTTACGTGCAACACAAATAATCCTTAAGAAAGGATTGTTCTGCGTCAACATGAAGATGATGTTATCTGAGGAGTGATGTGTCTGCCCATGGCTAGGCCACTGATTTGCACATATAAATTATTACCAAAAGTGAAGTGGCTAAGGGTGAATGCAATGTCCCACAGTTTAATGGCTAGGCATATTAGTGATGATGTTCTTGATGCGTTGAAGTCCATGTTTGTGGAGGATGTTGATGTTTACTGCCTAAACATCCATGGTAGCTCAGATTGTGTTATTAGGAAAATTGCACATGGATCTCAGCTTTCTCGGGAAATTTTTTGTAGCCAAGAGTGCTAGCAATATGAGGTTGTAATACAGAGTCCGTGCAACCTGACATTCCAGGTTTATGAGAGTAAGATTTTTTTTCCTCTTACAATGTCTAGTTATGAGTATGACCCAGATAAATTAGTATTGGAGGGACAACCTTACCATCAGCTATATGTTGGCAACATGCAGGTGGGTAAGTCTGAAGGCTCAATGCTTTGTTAGATTGGGCAAGTCCGTGAGGAAGAAATTCAGGTTAAAAAGACAAGGTACTCCATCAAATCTGCATGGGTGATAAGGGTCAACATGCCTCTACCTGGAGAACTGTTACTGAGGATCTTAGTTGATGAGTACCTCTTACAAGTTTGTTTGTATGCCGGGGTTGGTCACCCAACCCTTGGAATATCTTGGAATATCTCATGCTCTCATCTAAGTACAATAGGTGATCCAATCAATAGCATCTGGCAATGCATTAAAAATGCCCCAGAGGGATTGGCATGCTTGAACTTGACCTAGACTCTACTGTGCCATTATGGTGCCTGAAGTTGCTCCTGCTACTATAACTATTAACAGATGGCACAACCTTTCAATCTTGGACACTTTTTCAGTCAGATCTTTAGTCAATGAAAGGTTATTGCCATTGTGGATGAAGCTTCCCTTCATCCTTGGGTCACAGAGACAGGCAAGCATGGTTGAAGCACAAACATAGCACATTTGAACTACAGTGAGGTGGGGTAAGATTTTAAATTCAGGGATCCAGATAGATCCTTGCCAGTAAGAGGATTGGCCTCCAGTCACAGATTCTTTCAGTTTTCCCTCTCGTGGTCTCTTCCTGGCAGCAGAGTCCATTCCAGACTGGCAGCTCACTTAGCTGCACCCTCACATGACCACTTCGCCTGTCTCCCAGTGTTCTGTCTCCTGGTGTCACTTCACTGAATCTCAAATAGTAGCAGTTGCTGAACTGGTCAAGGTGTAGATAATTTATTTTGGAGCATCAGCAAAATACATGTCAACAGTCTAATTATGGATTATCTTTGCAAAACCCTTCAAACAGTTGCTTTCAGTCTCATCTTGGAAAAACATTTCCAGATGTTTTGGGTTTCAAACTTCAGAATGACTATATGGGCTCAGACTGTTTTATGCTTGAAGCAGCATGTGTATTTCTGTTGCCACATATGAAGAGATTCTGCCACTGGCTGTGGCTGACCAAGTTTTTATCAAATCTCCAAATTGGAATGGGTCACCACTTTGTCTATGGCCTGATTAACTGACTCTACATTCTTCCTCCCTCACACAGTCTTGGTTTACTAACATCTTGCTGGCTAATTGCTTGCAAATAGCATTGCCAATCTTCTTTCTAAAGTAGAGAAAGCATGAGACTTGCATGTGCACAATCACTCCTGCCACCAGCTCTGTGTATTCACGTTCCCTTTTTCTGGCCCAGAATGTAATTAGTCATTCTTTTTTTCTGTATGTGCACAATGCACCAAAAAAGATGTTGTGTGAAAACAACTTCTTGTTCTGGTGGGTTCTGTTGAACTTGTTTGTTTGTTTTTTCATTGCCAAAATGGTCTTCAGCAATCTTATGCAGTAATGACCTTTGCACTTGTGTGTTTCAGGAGAGCTGCCCCCAGCCACATGAAGCTTCTAAGCCCAGTGGTGGCCCTGCTGTCTCAATGACAATCAACAAATCTTTGGGTGTTTACCCTTCCACCACAGCTGTCAACCCTACAATTGTCCTTCTGCAGCATAACAGAGGTAAAATAAAAGCCACTCTCTCCTTCCTGGTTCATATTTAGCTAGAATTATTATTTGGTGATGGGGGATGCCATCATGAAATGGAAGAAACTTGAAACTTCCCAGAATAGGGACATTTCTTAAGGGACAAAGAAAATAACAAGGTAAAGGACAAAAAGATTCCCAAAAGTATCTAGCCAATATAATGCTAATCAAAATACCAAATAAAACAAACATAAAAGGCAATCAAAATCTTTGTAAGTCTGAAGTAAACTCTATTTACACCAAATGAAGTTCAAGACAGTTCACATCAAAAGCCTTTTATAATGCAACTGTGAAAAAATAAAACTTCTAAAAAGTTTGAGAGGGGAAAAAAAACCAGGAAATTGAAAACTTGTTTTCTGAGATTGGAGCAGAGTTATGTTGACTTACATTTCACATAACTTCCATTGTGCATTCTGCCATATTTATTTGTTTACCACCCATCTTTATTATTTCTACAAATAAGGTGGAAAATATACCTAATATTCCTTCATCCTCCTGTTTTCCACACAACAACCTCTCTGTGGTGGGTTTTGGGCTGAAAAAGAGTTACTGGCCCAAAATCACCGAGCCTCTTTTATACCTAAGAACTAAGACTTCGGTTTCTAGCCTGGACCTTTAACCCCTAGTGCAAATTGGCTCTAAGGGTGGGTTTTCTTTTCCTATTTTTAATTGTTCTTATGTGCCATTATGCAGCAAATGTTTTGTTTCTTAGTGAGCAGTGAAAGATTTCTCACCAGTTGGTGGGAAATGTTTATTTATAGTCACAGCAAGAAGAGACGATGGAATAGGTGGATTGCCTTTAGGTTTCTGGGTCCGTAGGCTGAAAAGTGCCTTCTTTTAATGTTTACAGACCACAGTATATTTAAAACTCTGAAACTGACATGGTATTGTATATGATGAGGGAGATTTTGTTGTAATGAGAGAGAAATGAATGTGATTTGTTAATGAGAATTTCCAATAGTTTCTTGTGCTGTTGTATACTTGAGGAAAGCTAGGAACCATAAGACTTTGCTAATTTAACAGCAAATTTATCTCCAGGTCTTTTCCTGTCTCTGCCCAGGACACAACTTCTGCATTTTGTTTTTTGAAAGGACAATTAACTAATTAATTTTTATCATTTTTCCCCATTCCCTGCAACTCTTCCTTTCATCTTTTTTCCCCTAGTTACTTTAATTCAGTGCTAAAATGAGTAGGAGGAATCAGCTAGGATAGATTCCAGTCCGTGTCTATAACTTGTTACTTTTTTCTCATGATTAAGCGAGGCATTATTTTTAGAGGAAGAAGTAGGCTGCTCACTTACATTTGTTATGTGCAGCCTAAACAAACAGCTGGGTTATGGTCCTCCCCAAAAATCATGTGATGATCATGATGTGAAAGACATAATACATATAAGAAATGTGAAAATCTTCCTTTAACTCCTTTCCACCTGCCACTAATTAGGCAGGGAAAACGGAGGGCAAAAATCTTACATCAGCCTAATGTAAACAATCTAAAACTACTTTCATTCATGTTATGCTGCTTCTCTTCATGCATGCATCGTATTTATAGGCAGGCTTCCATCTCTAACAAAACAAAACAAAAATAAACCATGACTAGTCATCTGACTTCATTCAGGAAGTGAATTAGAGAGGCTACCTTCTGCTCCAGTCTATCCACAGGTAGTCCTTCAGTTATGCCCTTTTGTTCAGCAACCATTAGGGTTAGTCCTTGAAGTTCCAGCCATTGCAGCCCATGAAAATAATTTGTGCTCTTCCCAGCTGGCTTCCCACAAACAAAGTCAGTGGGAAGACAGCAGGGAAGGTTGCAAGACATTTGGGTAAGTCTCCTTCTACCCCCTGGACTTTCTTTGCTTCCACAAATGCGCACACATACCCCACACCCTCTTTCCCTGGCCTCTTTTGCATCTGTTTTCCCCACCTTCCTTGAGCTTCCACACATGAACGTATGACACCTTGCACCCTTGTTTCCTAACCTCCCCGAGCTTGTGCCACACTGCACAACCCTAAGTCATCTGCATCTTGGGTTTATAACAATAACTGGGACTGGATTGCCTTTGGCCACATGACATTGCACTTTAAAACTGCATCACTTAGTGATGGCAATCCCAGTCCCAGTTGCTTCTGTAACTGGAGGACCATGGTTATCTATCTTCAAGAGTATCCAGCTGCTCAAAGATGATACAACCATGATGGCGAACCTAGGCCATGCATGCTAGAAGTAGCATGCAGAGCCATCTCTCCGGGCATGCCAGCCGTCGCCCGTTGCTCTTCCGGGTTCAGCCGCGCATGCACTCTGGCCAGCTGGCCTTCATGCGTGAGGGAGCGCTGGAAACCAGAAGAGCAGCTCAGTCGACCAGCTGGTCTTCACATGCACATGCATGTTAGAAACCAGAAGACCAGGTGGCCAGAGCAGATGCACCTACTGGTAAGCTAAGCTTCCAGTTTTTGATGCTCCTGCGCTCCCACATTAGGGGAGCTGCTCTTTTGGTTTATGGCGCGCGCATGCGGTCCTGTTTCGGCATTCGGTGCCAAAAAGGTTAGCCACCACTGTGATATAAGCTCCAAAATAAGGCCTTGTTTTCAACCTAAACTTTCATAAGATGCCTGTTGGTCTATTTATGATAGCTTTCTTTACCTGCGACCAGGAGACTGGAGATGGTTAGAACCTTGTCCCTTGTGATTTCATGAAGTTCTATGAGAAAGACTTTCCTGACTGGTCTTTAGATTTGAAGGTCTGCAGAGGGTAATTCTCCGGCTTCTTCTCGATAACCTTTCTTCATTTGGGGAATGGCGATGGAAGATGTCCATTCTTATGGGCTGGTTATGTTTGGATATGGTATTGCTGAACCTTTGGATCTTAAAAAAAAAAGGTTTTAGATCATAAGGGCTTATTTGGAGCTATTGTGAATTGAATATCCATTTATGAGATCAAAGAATAAATATTTAATAAATAAACTAGAATAAATATTTTTTCATTGTTCACGCTAAATGTTCCAGTTTGAATCTTGCATCTCACTTAATTCAATAAAGGTGCACCTATATGTTGCTCTGAATGTGCACCAGGTAGAATTCTTCTTGAAGACACATATATGGGGACATTGTAAGACTTAGTCCCCATTTGTGTGTGTAGACTGTCTGGTGCCCTCCCAATGTTTTGGGCTTCAGTGCCCATCAGATAATCAACCCATATTATTGGTAGCAAGTTATTGCTGTAGCTTCCAGCAAAGATAATGTCTAGGAGGGACTTGGAAAGTTCTAGGTATTTTTATCCTTCTAATTTGGTGAAAAAATGTATGCATGTCAGGTTGTTTGAATCAAACATGTAAACATGTTACTCATTCATTATATATGGGACTCTTGCTCAGCACTTTTATTTAAAGGGCAAGGGGGTTAAAATGTTGGGTTTGATGAAATGCTAATGGTGGTAGGGTGTTTGAGATTTTATCAGCAGATTGTGGACGTCTTATCAAGAGTTTAGGGCAATCATGGTTTCAACAATTTGTTTTTTCCCTTCCTCTCTTTCTCACAGCAGAGCAGCAAAAAAGGTTTAGTAGCCTTGCAGGTATGATGTTATTGTTGTTATTCTGTTTCCAGCTATTGCTGTTTCTACTGCTGTATTTGGCCAAGTGCTTTTTATCTAATAGAGTATCATTAGTGAATCTGCTTCAATTCAGGGGTAGAGGAATTGTACTTGGTTCAGCAACTGTGACTTATTTATGATACTTTTCTCCGGAATTCCACAAGGCAGTCTTGGAAAAAGATGAGACCTGGCCCACCATTTAAAAAGAACTTGGAATATATCAAAGCCACAGATCATGAAATGTCAGTGAAGTGTCCCCCTTTGCACCTAAGGATTATATGGATTTTTGCAGCCCAGTTCTGATAGCCCAGCCCCTGTTTTACCAGAATGACTAGTCTGATACCTTTCTATATTAGCATCCAACATTTTAAAATAATCAAGAATTGAATATTAAGATCATATTCAGAAGCAGGTAGAATCAATCTTTATTGATTTTAAATGTTTGTTAGCTGTTATTGAGGGAAACTAGTCCAGAACAATACATTAAAGTATGTTAGAACATTCAGCAAATTAACTCTGGGATGGATTTGCTCATGATACTCTGGGATGAATGCAGATTATATTGCATGAAACATGACTGTGTAAGTTTAATTTCCATTTAAAATATTGTTCTTGAGCTCACCGTGCATGTTCTTAAGCATGAGTATGTTGCTTTCCCCTTCCTCCCAGTGCATGCCACACTGCATTATCACTGTTTACTGAAATTTGATACATTTTGGATGAGTCAGTTTATGATCCTTCTCCCTTCCGGAAATCTTTCCGGAGAATCTGGTAGAGGTGGAGCTTAAAGGGTGCTACATTGTAATAACAGTTACATTAGAGGAGTTAACTATGATTCTGTTGCTAAGCCTGTGTAGTGTTTATTGATCTGAGAATCAGTGAATAAGGTCCCAAAGTTTAAAGTATTTAGAATGCAGTGTTAAAGGAAATATGGAACACTTTCTTTTCTAAAATTCCTTCTTTATTAAGTCATATTGAAAATATAAACTCTTTTAAACCAACAAGATACTTCATTTGTATTTCTCCAAGGCTCTGTTAAATATTTTATAGCAATGGGGAAAGTCCAAGTGACTACTGCTTTTGTTTACAGATCCAGTGCCTGATCCACCAGTTGTTGATAAAGTAGTTGGTATATCTCTTCAACAAAAGTTAAATCCAAGCAAGGAAGATGCAGTAGAGGAACAGAAGAGAATTGTTAATAATTCTCAGCATATGGCTGATGATTCTCTGGATTCCATAGGCATTCCACTAAGAGTAAGGAAATATTTTCCTATCAATTCATTCCTGATTGTCTTTTTTTGTTGTTGTTACAGTCAATTTTCAGCATATAAATTGTTTTGTTGGATTTTTGTCATGATATAAATCCACTTAGTGTTTGTGTACTTTTATGAATAATAAAGTAGGTACATAAAGTAAAATATTCTGTCTTTAAACAAATTCCCAGAAGTTTCAAACTTTGGAATCGGAATTAAAGAAGGTAAGTTTGTCAAAAATGTGTTAAAATATATGCGTGCAATTGTGGGTTGGTTTTTTTTTTTGTAATCCATACATTTTGTGATAGTGTCTCACTACATTCCAGAAAGATGACACTTCCCCTTTCCTTGATTGCTTTTGGAGATTGTCCCCTTTCTTATTAGGCCTCTGAGGACCAAACAAAGACACAGAAATATAGCAAGCTGCCTTTAAATTATGAATCAGAACATTTGCCCATTATTGATTATGTTACTTGGTGTATCTCAAGAGCTTCAAGAAGGCTTTCCTATAACCTGAAAGTTCTAGCATTAAGCAACATTAAGTGGTGCAAAAGAGCCTCCAGATTAAAAAAATAATTACAATGCAAAATCTCATAGTCAAATATTTACTAAACTTCGTGTGTAATAGCAAGCCAGTTTGGTTAAGGCACCAGGCTAGGAACTGGAAGAGCATGGCTTGTAGTCCTGCCTTAGGCATGAAACCAGCTAGGTGACTTTGGGCCAGTCACTTCCTCAGCCCTAGAAAGCAGGCAACGGCCAACCGCTTCTGAAATATTGCCAAGAAAACTTCAGGCACTAGTCCAGGCAGCCGTCACGAGTCAACACTGACTTGAAGGCATGCACACTAATGCATAGTACTTTTAATTTAATCATTTCTATGTTGTGACATTCCTCTTTAACATTTTTCACGTGGGATTGATTAGTTTCTCTGAGCTTCATCATGAGGAGTCAGGACGGGGGCCACAACACCCACTCACCTGATGGGTCTGATTAGTTTGGTTAAAGACTGCTGTCTTTGGACCAATCTTTTTCCTTCTTAACACACCCGGCCTTCTAAAGTTGTTGTTGGGAAGAAAATAGCAGGTATAATACCTTGGGTATTTTACAAAAGGGGAAAGAGAATATAAGTCTAATAAATGAAATAGTCAGGTTTTTGCTGAGGGAAGGCACTTGCTCCTCTCAATCCAGAGCATCTCTCTGAGAAAAGCATGATTGATTCTACCATCAAGCTGCTGTTGAATCGGCTGCCCCTTCTCAGGGCTTAAATTGCATGCGCAGGCGAGAAACACAAAACTCCTAAGCCAGAAAACCCCAAATCCTCAGCTATCAGTCAATAATCTCTTGACATCCTTGTCAGGTTCTGTGTGTTGGGTGGCACTCTTTGGGTGGGATGTAGCAGCACCACCCTAAACACAGGGAATTGCAGTCTATTTCCCCAGAACCCACTCCTTTAAGATTGCCTGTTGACTGATGCTTTTGCCCTGCCCAGGTTTTCATAGGAACTTATTCTCTTGAGTTTCCTGGAAGACCACCCTCCATCTGGGACAGCATCTCCTTCTGGAGCCACCAGGCAGAGATTATCTTGGGGGGCGGAGAGGGGGAAAGGTGCATGCTCCCTGACATAATCAGCTGAATTTCAGTGCACAGTTGCTGAACAGCCTTAGTTTGCTTTAAAATTAAAAAAAAAACAACCTTTCCTCTTTACAACTTTCCTCCTCCTTTTCTTTACCTATAGGATAGAGACATGAAGGGCATGGGGAAAATGTGTAGAAAATACAGCAATCTCCTTTTTAGACTGAGGTAATTTGTGCTGTGACAGCCAACAGCATAACCCAGAAACTATTGGAACTCCTTTTAGCTTCTTCCTGGTGTTTGCTTTCAAACTATAGATCAGCTGCATGGAATGGCAAACAGTAGCATCAAATGGGAGTCAGCTTGCTAGTGTTTCCAGTGCCCAGTGGAAAAGAATTAGCAAAGGTGGGAAGCAATCCCATGCCAGGCTCGATTTGCAAATTAGACCACCAGAACATCTCTTGGTAGAAACAGAGATGATAGACAACCATATGGAAGCAACCTGGCATGCTGTGAAGAAGCAAAACCTTGCTTTACTATGCTACCTGACTCTGTTGTTACATCCTCAAGCCACCAACAACCAACTTTAACCTTATACTGTCTACCGTGGACCTCACACCATTCCTAAGAGGTCTTTAAGGGGGTGTGCATAAGCATACCAGCATGCCTTCCGTCCCTGCCCCACTGTTCCCATTTATCCATTTATTTGTACTCATTTATTATGTATATACTTATATCTGTTTATACTTATATGTTTACATGTTATGGTCATACTTATGCTTGTTTTCTCATAAATGCTTGACAAACAAATAAAATAAATAAATAAATAAAAAGTGGGTAACTCCAGTGAAAACCATTACAACCATGTAGACCAGAGGTCTCCAAACTTGGCAACTTTAAGACTTGTGGATTTCAACTCCCAGAGTTCCTCAGCCAGCTACTCTGGGAGTTGAAATCCACAAGTCTTAAAGTTGCCAAGTTTGAGGGCCCCGATGTAGACTAACAAAGAGGCTGCCTTCTCCTCCACAAAATCCTGAAATAATTACAAGTTACTTTGATGGATGTGCCTATATCTGCTCACATTCTCCCCTGCCCTTCCACAGACAGAAGGGAAGACAGAGATGGATCTACATAAATGATCAATGCTTCAGCAGCCATTTAGCTATCAATTTCATCTAGACTTTTCTTTGCTAGTGCTTTCCCAATCCTGCTGGTCACTGCTCTTTTCGAACTAGCAGCAGAGCGGGCCTGAAATACATAGTAAATGCATAGTAAACAAGCAAAGGACAAGCTGAGGAACATTCCTTGTGCAGCTGCTACTGTGGCAGATTCTTTTCTAGAAATATTCCAGCATGATGAAACATGGCAATTGTCAGAATTTAGGAACAGTTTCTGGCTGGCAGCTGGTATGTGGAGCCTGGCATCTATTCCATGTATGAGGGAAAGCTCTTGGATGACTCAAAGAATCAAAAGTCTCTTCCTCTATGAAAAGGATGTAAACTTAAGGTGGTGCTTTCCTTTAATTTAAAATTGATGCACATCCAGATGGTTTTAAGGAAACCGAAGATTTGGATAAGCTTTAAGATTTGGTTATCTGACTGGCATGTATTTTGTTAGTTGGAAGCTAGACCAAATTTTATGTGACATTTGGAGGGCCATGCTCCAAGAACGCCAAAGCCCATTTTGGAAGGTGGGTTTCTGGAGTTTTAACAGGTAAAATAGGCACCCATTTACTCTCTAAAATCTTCCGCACATATGAAAAAGGGAACCAGATTTTGGAATCACCCAAGCATGAAAAACAGCATAATGGTGAACTACATAAAAACCTTCAACCCCTAATACTTTATGTATTCTTAGTCTAAATTGTAAAAATCCTCATGAAATTTAGTTATCTTTCAACAGAAGCCTTCAAATGTTCCAAGGGCTATAAGTACTAAACTACCATAGGTGGGTGTGGAGGTTGGTGGTCAAAGTTTGGAAATTAGTTTTAGGGAGAAGAATGATACTGATATTTATAGTGTTGCCTTTCTCAGGACATCAAAGTTTCTCAAGGCATCAACCATCCAACCAGTTAAGTAGATAAGTGTGACAGAGCCATGCCAAAGGAATAATACAATCTAGAAACTGATCTTTGTTATTGTCAGACTGGCCCTTGACTGGATAGGTTTTAGAGAAAAGGTTTTTTTAACTAGAGAAGCTGAGTGCAGCATAGATGAGGCAAGCTGTGAAGAAAAACTGCACAAAAATTGTATATCGAAGCAATCCCCAATATCCAAAACCCTTCACCCTGGGAGACCAGACCAATCAGGTCCCGTTTAGATGTTTTGGGACCTCAGTGCACCAGTATAAATTCTTTTCCCAGGACTGGAGTCCTTGAAGCTCGGCAGATGGCTTATTTTAGCACCTCTGGTTCCTGTTAGTGTCCATACTCCCCAGTTTCCCATTGCATTATTTCACACCTCCAGCACACTTCCCTTCCCAGATTCCCCCTCCTTCCTGGTTATGGCAGTTGTTTGTGAGCTTCAAAGAAAGTGAAATTGAGCAGCTGACAGTTATTTTGGTGCCTAAAACTGATGCTGTCACAAGAGCTAAACAGTATTTAATGTAGCTCAAGATATGTAATTTGTTCAAAAAGAATTTGGGTACTCTTTGAACGGGTCATCTGTGAATTCACAGTTTCTCCCACTTGCATGTAGGGATGCTCAACCTTGCTTTCATATGCTTGGTCCTCCAACGTTAGTGGATCCCTGCCTTGCTATGCTGCAAACTCTGAAGATTCTAGGATCTGAAAGATTCCACACAGTTATTGCCCAGGGCTAGAAACCCAAAGTGTGAATTCACAGATAACCATTTGAAAATCTACAATTACAATTGATCAGTTCTTATAACAGCTGCACCAATTCACATTACTTTAATATTGCCTAGTTTTTGGTCCTAAATATATGTGATAGGAAGACTGCCTGTAGCACCAGTGTGAAGGTTCATGTAATATGTATGTGATGACCCAGGGCGTGGCACAAAGGCTATACAGTCAAATAATCAGTAGGAGTCCCTTTATTAGCTCCAACTTTGCTCCCACTTGTCATGGTTACCTTCTGGCTGGAGAAAAAACTCTCCCAGGAACAGCCTTGGGTTGCAGAGAATCAAGTCCAAAACGTGGTCAACGAAAACTGTAACTGTAAGTCATCAAGGCAAGATGTAATTAGTACAGTAAGGCAAGAGAAGGAATTCCAGATGTGAAGGAACATCAGTAATTCAACCTGGTTGGGAGGATGCCAGGAACGCAGTTAACCAAAGTCAACATAAGACAAACTCACATTGGTTCCCAGCAGATGTCGCACTCAGCTTGCATCTCTTTTAAACTCTCATTCCCAGGTGTGGTTAATTAAGGGAATCAAAGCCCTTTCCTCCCCGTAAGCCACGCAACCCACGTTGCTGTCTTCTCTGTTCCTCCCTGCACGCCCTAGGATGAAGAGGGGGTGGGCCTTCCTCTGAACTCCTTTTCCCTTGTTCTACCTCTTCCCTGCTCTGCCCAGCCAGACTTTGCCCTTATCCAGTTTCCTCCACAGCCAACAGAGCCACACTCCCATTCCTTGTCAGTTGTTTGTCTTCCTCCTCGGATTCAGACTCTGACAGGGGCATGGCAGTGTGTTTATTGGCTGTTTTACATTTGACTTTCTACTATTGTAGTATTAATTGAGTGAACTAATCTGACATTGAACATGCACTTTGATAAATCAGCTAAAAAAACCACAAGCACTGAGAGACCATGAATGCTAAAGATTTTGATGTAGACAAATCAAATGAAGTAACATTATTATGAGTAGTCAACAAATAACTTGAGTAATAACAAGAAGTGAAGTGAATGGCATTTAATGAAGGGATTTCAGTGAAATGATGCAAAATCTGTAGATGGCTCTCGAGGTCCTGCTAGCTGTCATGATTGATGCTGGAGCAACACCTGCTGGACGGCAAGAACTCCATACTTGTATTAGAATTACAAAACATCACCACTAAAATTGGAAATTTAGGACAGAGTTGCTTTCCTAAAACTTTCTGCATCCCATACATTAGTTGCTTAACTTATCCCTAGAACAAAACAATTTACCCCACAGTTGGAAAAACAGGTCTTTTGCATCCACAAGTTTGCCAGGGAGCCTATGATGAGCAGAAATCATTAACATAAGGTAATAGATATAAGATACCATAACTCAAATAGGTATTTAAATCTTTTCAAATGCTGTGTTATCTTTCTTTTTCTATTAGAATTCAGAGCGATCCAAGGACTGGTACAAGATAATGTTCAAACAAATCCACAGATTGACAAAAGGTACATTTAATTTAAAACATTCTACCTATCTACTTAACCGGTTTCTTTTGGGATGGAATATCCTGGTTTAGGGAGGGGGGAGGTTGTGGCTTTAAACTTTTTCCCTATGAAGTCTCTTGCCCCCCCCCAAACAAACAAACAAACAAACAAATGAAACAGCTACTAGTCTTGAGGCAGAAATCTCCATAGCTGCCAATGGAGGATTTTGTCTGAGGCTCAGAACTTGGAGCAAGGAGAAGTAGGATTCTGACCAGGGTCCTAACTTCATTTCTTCCCTCAGGAGTCTATTGTATCATCTGCATTCATACATACCCTTGGCCAATTTGCAATTAAATGTATGCTAAACTACCACACTCCACCAAAGAGAATTCTCTTTCTCCTTTGGAAGCACTTTCAAAGCAAATCTTCTTTCCCTAAATTGAATCAGAATTGATAACAAAACTGCAAAACTTCTGTGCCTGCTATTTAGCGCTAATGGCTGGTTAATTTGAGACAAACCACCCTAGAATGAAAAGCATTGTGCCCATGGCTGATCTGAAGGGGCAGCCTAAGACTAAATTATGCATTTTTAAGGGATGGCAACTCTATTCAGCATGTGAGTATTAGGAGTTTCTTCTAACATATTCCACTCTGTTTACAGTGTATCTTTCCTCTCTGTTCTTTTTCTGAAATGTGCTCTTCCTGCACAGACCCTCCTGAAGAAAACCCTTATTGCCCTACCTACATATTCCCTGAGCTTCCTGCTTTTCAAGCCAAAAGCAAAGGTACCATAACAAGAATGTATCTTGTTTTTGTTTGGCTAACAACCATAGTTTAATCTGTCATACTACAATATGACTCATTAAAAATTGAATGCTATTCGGAATGTCTCCTTGTTTTGTATTGATGGAGACCAACTGCTCTATCTTGGAAGTAGTGGATAATATTAGTAGCAAAGTGGGATACAAAAACATAATGGGATAGAAAATTGAGAAGTGATGAAGTTCCTCCACTTAAGCATGGCTGCTGTCCAATCCCACTGCTTTTCTCTGCTGCAGAACAAAATCCTTATTCTCCTACTTACCAGTTTCCTGTGTCTACTCCTAGCCCTAGATCTGAAGGTAATTTGTTAAGATCAATTGACTTTTGCTTTTGTACAAGCTTCTGCTTTCTTAATTTTCCAGCCAGAGTTTTTGTAGTCACCAAGTCGCATTTGCTGTCTTTTAATTGTGATTGTCACCAGCTGCTTTTTGCTCTTACATGCTGAATGGTAGAACCTCTTTATTAGCTTTGCTTTGCTTTTTCAGTTTTCTAATAGTCCCCTAATTAATATTGTGGAGCTTGGATTTTCTTTGGTTTGTGTTGTCAGTTCAAGATAATTATCCAGGCATCTGAAATCACACAGCACATGGAGGCCAGTCCACAAAGACATACATTCTTATTAAATGGAATGAAAAACCTTGAATACATATTTGTCAAGGACTCCTTTACCTAGGGCAAGGCCAGTGCGGCAGTGATGGTTGCAGGATCCAGCATGTTTTGTGTGTCACCCACATCTACAGGACAGTGTTCCCTGTTAAAAATTGTGTACAGTATTCATATCTCCAGTGATCTACTTTCTATGAATAACATAGAATTATATCCAATTTTGAAATGAAAAGTTGTTATCCATAGCATTATTAGGGATAGAGATGAAATCATGGCATCTTATACCAGAGGATAATCCTTGGAAGACTTAAGCTACTTTGAATATTATTGGCCTAGTGCAACTTTAAAATATGTAGACTTCTACTCCCCAGCCAGCCATGGGGATTTCTGGAATTGAAGTCCATGTGTCTTAAAGTTGCCAAGATTGAGATCCATGGATCTAGTAGTAGTGACTGATGGTGGATCACATTTTTAATCCAAAGTTTGGGTCAGACATACTTCTTTGCCATGTTGCAGAAGAGGTTCTTAGTCCAGCAATTGGAATACTTTATATACTTTATATTGTATGGTTCAAAGGTGATATTTTGGTACAAAAAAACGTAATTATTTTCTCCTTCTTCTCCTTCTATTTTGATATTAGTAGCTTTGGTATCAAAATTGTTGTTTCATGCTGTGATGAATCATTGGGCTGGTTGAAAAAGGTGTTTCCTCTTATGATTAAGTGGGGCAGAAGAGAGTGGAAGATCACACATTGTCACTTATTTTTCATCAGATAAAGTGGTATGTCTAAGCAACTGATTTTTCTTGTTTCATGACAGAGGTTGCTCTAGGTAAGATTTATAAACTGCTGCTGGTTGATTTACCTATTTAGCAGCTTACATTAGAGCTACTCACCAGGCTCTAGTGACCTACAGTTATAAAAGCAAAAGAACACATGTAAGGCTACCCTTCTACTGCTGTTACCTAATGAAGGTCTTCTATTTGTGGAACAATGATAATTCAGTTTTCATTGCCTTTTTGAAAGACAGGACAATGGGAACCAGCTTGACTTTTGGGAGCAAGCTATTCTAAAATGAGAAGACAGTTGCGGAGGAGGCCCTCATCACCCATTCCCTATCCTGATCTCTTGGGGAGATTCCATTCACATCAATGCCTCCACCAGGCTAGAATATAGCAGAATATTCTACCTGAAGCAGATGTTTCCAAAGATTAGAAAGCCTAAATTTTAAAGAACTTTTTTAGCCCAGTATTTTGAATTGGGCGTGGAAGCCTCCAGGCAACTAATAGAAGTCTTATGACATAGGCGTTATTCTACCAGGTTGATTAATACAGGACAACAAATGGACAGTCATGTTCTATGCCAGCTGCAGCTTCTGAGTTGCAGTAGTGTAACTGCGAGATTAATGGGGTGACCTCTCCTGATCAGGAAAAGGGCACAGCTGTCAGGCCAGCCAAAATTGGCTGAAGGGCCTCCTGGCCATAGGCTTAGCACAAAATATGTGTCCATGGTTGTGGGCAGTAGAGGCATGTTCCTAAAGAATCCAGTAAGATTTTTTTTTTCTGTCTTGTACTAATATTTCATCTTATGAGTTTAGTTAATAGATTCACATTAAATCTGTTTTGCTTTAAAAATACTGTACAACCATTATTCCAGAAAAGGGTTAGGTTAAGAGGACCAAGAGACATTGCCTCATCTCTGCATTGTAAAATAATATATGTACTTTCATGAGTATTTTGAATCATTGAGGTAACTTATAAGACTCCCTTCTTCCTTACTGTAATGTTCAAATATTTTCTTGTAAGGAGCATTTAGAGTCCAATCTACTGCTTGGATTAATTTTTTTCTTGACATTCCATTGAAACCTAATCAATATTAATAGATCACCTTTAGTGCTATCAAATCACCCCTCAATTCAGTTACTTCAGTCTTTTTTTCATAGTTCTGGACTCCTCCTCTTGCAATTTTTCATCCTCAGCCCTTTTGAGTGGTGCCCAAAACTGCATACAGGTAGTTCTCAATTTACAACAGTTTGTTTAGTGACCGTTCAAAGTTACAATGGCACTGAAAAAAGTGACTTATGACTGTTTTTCACCCTTTTTCACCTTTGCAGCATCCCTGTGATCATGTGATCAAAATTCAGGTGCTTGGCAACTGGTTCACGTTTATGATATTTGCCATGTCCCGGGGTCATGTGATTGCCTTTTGTGTCCTTCTGAGGAGCAAAGTCAGTGGGGAAGCCATTTAACAACCAAGTTACTAACCTAACAACTGCAGTGATTCACTTAAGAACTGTGGCAAGAAAAGTCATAAAATGGGACAAATCCCACTTAACAAATATCTCACTTAACAACAGAAATGTTGGGCTCAATTGTGGTTGTAAGTTGAGGACTACCTGTATAATACTAGATCTGGGTTACAGGACTGAAGAGTTGGAGATTATAGCTGGGATTTAACCTCTCCCCCACCCCCCACGTATAAAAATGTGATAATTTGCCACTTATCTTACTAGATTTGGGTAGCATTACTTGGGATATTGGAAGATTTAAAATTGGGCGCTGCTGACACATCACTACCACAGAGGGTTTGGACTCCCCATGCTGCAACAAAAAATATTTTCTCAATCCTTATGAAATGCAACTGATTACATGCCAATCATCCAAATGATTCAAATCTTGGTGCAAAAACTCAGCTTTCTTCAGTCAATAGCGTTTGCATAGCCATTCACTTGCAGGATTCCATTGCTTTGAGCCCTCTTCTGTGGATGGGAAAGATGAATGAGAGCCTTTCCTGAGGATTCAACTTTATGAATTTCCTTCATTTATCTTCACAGTTAACAGATGTAGCTGATCTTAGCAGTGGCATCCCCACATGAATTAGGAGCAAGATAAAATTGCCAGATCTAATAAGTGTTGGAAATTGTCCCATCTCCTTCTACACAATGTACCCTTTCATATCCTTGAAAAATAATACGACCTCACTTGCTGATATTGCCTAAAATTACATTTGTTTTTTTTAGTAGCCATTTCAGCGTGTTTACTCATATTTAGCTTTCAAGTGATCAACTGCAATTCCAATGTCCCTTTCACTCATACTATACCCTATACTGTTTCTTTTGCCTTTGAATAGTTTTGCTATTCAGTTTATATTCAATGGCACTTTCAACCCATTTCTCACAAAAATCTATCAAGATCATTTTGAATTTTGTTTCTGACTTCTTATTCTCTTAGTTTCTGTCTCCAGTTTTCTGATAAATTTTCTAATAAAGAGTCATATGGCACTTTACATTATACCTCTCCCAACTTGATGAAAAGCCATTGATGAGCATTCTGGGTGGAGTTTCAGGCCAGTTATGGATTAAATATATAGAAATGTCACCCAATCAAACTTGAATAACTTGCTAATCAGAATATCATGCACATGTTGTCAGATGTTTTACAGCATTTCCACATTGTATGTAAGACATTTCCTGATCCAGAAATGAAATAAAATTAATCTGACAAGATTCGCTGCATTGTTTTCTAAGAACCTAGGCACCAGTGGTATTATGGCAGATTTCTATAATAATCCTTTCATAAAGAACCACCTAATAAAAACACTGTCTAGTTACCTAACCAGTTGTGGTTGTATGACTAATGCTAGAAGTATTGGAGAAGAAGCTCTCCTCTTTACAGTTCCTGTGACGATCAGACCTTGCTTCACTGAATTCAGAAAGCAGGTGGAATTCTTGTCTGCCTCTCATTTTATTTTCATTTCAGATGACATCCATTCTGTGATTGCTTGGCTGAGGCCTTTGCTAGGATCCCTGGTGGAATTGTTTTTAATTCCTAAGTCTGCTGCTATCATTGCTTTAAGAAGCTTCTGCTTCTCACATTCCTTTACTTGTGTAAAGGACAGGAATGTGGTATGACATGAATGTTTCAGATCATGGCTGTCTGGAGACTAACCCAGGTTCTTTGGCTATCAGGCAATTGTAAGCAGAGAGATTGGTGGTCTTTACAGCAGCAAATGACTAAAGAATGCACTTTAACTTCAAGTCCTGTGGGAATGTTTGTAAAAATTATTTATTGATCAAATCTTTGTAAACTTTATTTATTTATCAAATTTCTACATTGTCCATCTGTCCTAAATGACTCTGGGTGGTTTGTAAATGACCCCTTAGCTTGAAAAATTCAACACTCAGATGCAGGTTGAAGGTCCATAGATTTATTCTTTTCTGATTTTACATCAGTCCTGCTGTGCAAAGTATGTATATGTTTTCAAATGGGAGGCAGTGTTGTTTTGCTAATTGTAAACCCTATTTGCTAAATTATTTTGTATTATGAGAGTTTGGAAGGTTTCACTGAAGGTTTATGAAGAATCTTTCCCTAGAGATTTTTTGATATACAGATCTGGAAGCTTAGTTAATGAAATGAAAATATTTAGAGCCTGCGAATCACAAGGCAGGAGGAGTAAATGGAAGATTTTGGTTGTAATTCCAGGGAATGAGATCATGGGACATATTAATTTGAATTAAGCAAAGGCCTATGGAGTTAGCATTGTATTTTTGGTGTTCAATTTAAAAAGTTGGGATTGGAATACTTCATTTCCATTCCCAGGTATTTCCAGGCACCTTTTTTATTATTATTAAGGAAGAATGTTGTACTTCTGGCAAAGTTGATGTGGTAGATATGTACCGTATATGATTTCTGTAAAAATAGTTTAGAATATGATTTGAATGAATACGGCTGGTTCATATGCTATATTGCAGTTTAATGCAATAGCTGAATTCTTCTGATTTGATTTGATGTTATTTAAAAAGCAGATCACCATAGTTTATTCATAATCTTGGTTTAATGTTAAATGTAAACCAGATCAAATGCATTTGCCCCATCAAAGCCTTCATATATATCCTCTACGTATGAAGAGAGAAAGTCAGCCTCCCCTGTACAGATTCAAAGAGTTTCAAGGTATATTTATTAGGATCAAGCTTGGTCCTAATAAATGAGGTGACATGAAAACTGTGCAGGCATTCAAAAATACATGAATATTGAATGTATTTAATTCTGTGACGTATGAATAACCTACCCATATATTCCTTGCAATGTTCTGATGGCTGCTTTTGCATAAGGAGCGCAGTGTCTTTGTTATTAATCACTACCAGAATTGATAATAGAATTTGCACTTGGATTCATAGAGTGGCAGAAGGGGAAGCCATAGTCATAAATATATAATGGAATATCTAAACAGATAGCAAATTATGTTTTTTTTCCCCAGATGAAGATTCTGATTCATATTTTCCACAGGACTCCTTTGGCAAAGAAGGTAAGTATTTGAAGATTGAAATGAGTTATATAAGTGCTAAAGGTTGTATGAAAGAGAGAGCTACATGATGTGCTAAATGAATCTTACTCCATTATATACCCAGAATGCAACAAACCTTCATGTTTGGAATATTGGTGCCTTTGTTCTCCTACAAACATATCTGACTTTGTCCCTTTGCAGTAACAGCACAAACTTCAGTGCCCCGCTCCAAGAGTGAGAATTATACCATCAACACAGACAAGATAATGAAGAGATCAGCCACCTTGCCATTGCCCACTCGTTCTTCATCTTTTAAATCGAACTCTGAGAGGTAATCACCGATGAGAACAGTTGAAGGAGTAGCTCAGGGTAATGCAACTAGCAGCAAACCGACAAACCAACAAGTTAAGGTGCTGCCCTAGAAACTAGGAGACAATGATTTCTAGTCCTGGCTTGGACATGAAAGCTGGCTGGGTGACTTTGGCTAGTCACTCTCTTAGCTCAACGCCCCCCCCCCCTCACAGGGCTATTGTTGTGGGGAAAATAGGAGGAAAGAGTATTAGGTATGTTCACTGCCTTGAGTTTCTTATAAAGTAGTAAGAGCAGAATTAAAAAATAAAATGAAAAATAATAAGAGCAGAATTAAAAAATAAAATGAAAAAAATAAACTAAATTGAAAACTAGGTTTTCTATATCATTCACAAAGCAATCTTTACTAAGCACATAAATTTTAGATAGAATTTGTATCCAAGTAAGCATATTTTGGGGTTCATCTTGTCTTCCGTTTGCTATGGCAAAGCGATTTCTTACAATTTTATACATTGTCATCTTATCTCATCCCCAACTACTGACGTAGCCAAGAACAAACTTTGAATATTCCATCACGCAAAAAGTGTCATCCTTCTCTTGACCCAAGATTTCTCATGTAGAAAATCTAAGGTGCCTCGGGGATGATCCTAGGTATGATGCAATGGGCTCATTTTAAATAAGTGGTGTCTCAAAGGTCATTTAGCTAAAATAGGAATTGGCTTAACTGAGGTTCCAAACTTTGCCAATTACTTTGGTGCATGTGTATGTGCATGCATGTGTTTCTGGGGAATAGCAGGAGCATTTACTTGAACAGGGACTCATTTGCTTTTTATAATGAAAAAGAAGAACAAACCTACAGTACAAATAATAAGCCTTACAGTGTTCTTCAATAGAAGGCATGTATATGAAGCAGGGTTTGTCAGAGAGTAGAAATGAGAATGGAAAAGAAATTACAAATTAAAGACATCGATAATACTTTGGTTTGTGGTTTTGTAGCATTTGTAATAAACAGAATTATGGTTTGGAGAATTAGTGAAAAAAATCATTCCGTAAACAAATTAAATTGGATGAAGCTTTCTCTATTTTCCTTTTCGGCTTCTAAAGAAAATGTTAATCGCTGTGACCTGAAAAGTTGCACTTTATTTTTCTTTTCTTTAAAGGAATGATTGGGAGCCTCCAGACAAAAAAATAGACTCGAGGAAGCACTGGGCTGAACCTAAAAGCATTTATGAATATCGTCCAGGGATGTCCTCAGTTCTGGACAACGAAACATTGGCAATGGTAATTTGATTTTACTTTTATGTGCATATTTTCCATTGTGCTCTGTGGATTTGGTTCCTGCCTGAAATAGTATCTCCTGAAAGCCTGCAGAGAAACTGGCCAAGAGGTCATGGTTTTAGAGTAGAGAGGCCTAATTTGAGGAATTGTGTGGAGGTTCTCCTCTTGGGAGCAACCGGAGAAGCCATGTTCCTATGTGGAGATTACAGATTGAGGGGCAATGCTTGATAGGCCTTCATGGGACTGATTGCCTTCCACTGTATTCTGAATGAGTAGTAAGATAGCCCTGCTGCACTCATCTCTTATTGAGTCACTACTCCATCACAACTGGCAGGAGCAGGAAGAAAGAAGAGGGAGAGGCACACTGGCAGGCAGGAACCAGCTCTCAACCAGCCCCTTTCCTATTGGGAGAAAGACTAGTGCTCCTTGGGTTACAAGGTAAATTATCTGTAAATATTATTACCATTCAGATCATGAAAATACTGCTGTTTCTCTATTCTCCATACCCTGTGAATAAAGGAAGACTTTCCTCACTTTTGTGCCAACTTTTTTGCTGCAGGACCTCAATCTACAAATAAACTATCCAGTTTTTCCTAAATGGCTAGTGGAAGGGAAAGGATGATATCCCACCCCCCTTTCTCCTCTGGCTACAGCAGTTAAACCACTGGGAAGAAAACATTATTTTCTCTCTCATTGTTCATCTTCATATAAAATGGAGGAATGTTTTCTCTCCTTTTCTCTTAGTATTTTACAAGAGACATTACAAAATATGCACCTCTTGAAAAGATTAGCACAGGTTCTATTTCCTAGAGCTACATACAGCATGATATAAGAGAAGGAGGAGTCAACTCAGTTTAAGATGGGCTGTTAATAAGCCAGTCCTTGAGTCTTGTATGAAGTTTCTACATGCCACAGTTTCTAAACGTGAGCTACTTTTAAAGAACAAGATCATTCAGAAGTTTGTGCAATCGATAAACAAATCTCAGATTCAAATTCTGTGAAAAAGCTCTATCAGAAAGTTGGTGGTTTTAAATAATTCTATAAAAAAAGCTCGGCTGTATTTTAAAACATGAGTTAAAAAACTGTGATTTACATTATTCCCCCTGCAATGTGACCATTAGACTAGTTTCCTTAGTTGACTGTAATTTGATGACCAAGAGGAATTTTTTTAAAAATGGAATGGTTAAATTAGATACAGTATATATGCGTATAATTAGATACAGTAAACACACACACACACACACACACACACCACACAATCACTATGATGCAGTGACAGTGACTGAGCTGTCAAGATCAAATTTGCCACGTATCTTTCCCTCTCTGTTTTTATTGGCTAACCTTAATACATTGAGGGAATGCTGTGGACATAATAACATTGATTTCAGTTAAGCATTTGGCAAAATTCCCTTTGAATCTGAACTAGCAAGCTAGTTAAATGTGACCTAGACAGCATGACAATTTTGAATCCAGATTTCCTTTAAAATGTTTCTTATTAAAGTGGAGGAGGTGGATACTCAAGCCTTTAAATTTTGAGTGACTATTTTCAACATATATTTTACCTGGATAACAACATGGAGAGAATACTTAACAAATTACCAAGTAGAACAAATTTGAACAGGACTGCTAGAAGACAAAACTACACTCAAAATGATCTTTTGAATTGTTTCTTAGGAATTTAAATATAACATAATTAAATTTAACAAACAAATGTGAAGCATTTTTCTAAGGAAAAAAAACTGTAAGAAAATACCCAGGAATAGAAATTAGGTGTAGCTAGCTTGGTAGTAGTACTTGTAAAGAGCATCTTAGAATTGTAATTGATAATCAGATTAATATGAGTGTGACATGGAAACAAAAGACATTTGCAAACCTGGGACTGTATTAGCGCCACTCTACGTATTCTGGGTTGATTGCACTATATCTTATATACCAAGACTGTGTCTTAAGAACTGTTGCACATATTCTTTGTTTCTTGTACAGTGATTCTAAGAACTGCATGTCATTAATTTTATATTTTTTCCTTAACATGGAATACAATAGCAAAATATGACTCCTTCTCTTAACTGTTATATTGAAAATATGACTCCTTAACTGTTATATTGTTCCTGGTGTATCCTGTTCTTAGATATGCCATTCTTAATTGTTATTTGTATTCTTAACCCTTAATCATGCATGAAATGTTGGCAATTTCTTAGAGTAGAAGCTTTCCACTCTCTTTTTTAAAGCAAATCATCTGTTTCCCTTAGCAACTTCACCATTAACACATCTACTGTCTAAATATAGCCTGTTTAGTATGGAGCAAGATTTCCCAACCATGGCAACTTGAATTCCATTGCCAGCTATATGGTGTAAAGCAGAGGTGGGGAATTATGGTCCCTTTATGACTTGTGAACTTCAACTCCCAGAGTTACTGAGCCAGCATGGTCATAAAAGTGGTAAAAGGCCATAGTTCCCCACCCCTGGTGTAGAGTTTTATCTTTTCATGTGCTATTTTTGAGACAGGCCTTCTCACTTACCCTATGTGCTGTTAAAGATGCCATACTCTATATAAATAAAGTAATATGTTGCATTGAGAATGGAGTAAAAATGAATCATATTAAGAGAATGATATTATCCAACAGCTGAGGAAATAGAAATCTTGACTATTTCAGGTAAAGTGCTTTGGAAATTAGAGATGGAATTTTAGATTTTGTTCACGTGTTGTATTAATAGAAGGACATTTTGATTCATCCACTCTTATTACTGTTGACAATTCATAATCTTCCCCTATGGATTTTTGTTTTTGCTTAGTTAGTGAATTTGTACTACTAGAATTCTAGTAGTTATTTAACTTGAAATGTACATTGAAGTTAGAAATAATAAATGGTAAATAATCAAGGAGAGAAACAGCCAAGAACTAAGGAGAAATTTCCTGATAGTTAGAACAATTAATCAGTGGAACAACTTGCCTCCAGGAGTTGAGTGTGCTCCATCACTGGAGGTTTTTAAGAAAAGATTGGACAACCATTTGTCTGAAATGGTATGGGGTTTCCTGTCTGAGCAGGGGGTTAGACTAGAAGGTCTAAGGTCTAAGGAACCTCTAAGGTCCCTTCCAACTCTGATATCTCTTATTGCTTTATTGCTTTTCCTGTTTTAGAAAAATAACACAAATATAATATGGGAAGATTATTTCGTTAGGAAATACCTTTCTTTAATGACAACAATGCACTCCCATTTTTGTTTACTTAGAAATGAGTGTAACTAAACCTATTCCCAGTGAAGTACGAATAAGATTGCAAATTGTTCTTAAAATTATGGGTGTGACCTTCCAGTTTGATAACTAGGAAACTATTGAAAAAAAATTACAGAATGTGGCACCTTTAACAGTCTTCCTAGCATTTTTTGCATAATATTGTCCTTCTCTTTCTTCCATTCTTATCTTACCAACTCTTTAGCCTCGGGATATAAGCCCAGAAGAGATAGATTTAAAGAATGAGCCTTGGTATAAATTCTTTTCGGAATTGGAGTTTGGGAAACCGGTAAGTTGATAGTCCCAAGCATTAATAAATACGATTTTGTTATGGATCACTGTCTTTTCCATCTTCACTGTATGCATAATGAAACAAAAATTAAGTCATCCTGGTTTAGCCAATTTAATTATACTGAAAAAAGAGCTACTATTTTATAAGCTGTAGTGTATGTTATTTATCTTTTGGGAAAATCATGCAGGCCAGATTTTGAAAATCAAACTGAAGGAATATCAGCAAATTTGTAACTGTAAGATACTATGGATGTTTTCTAGAGGTCTTCTAGAATTACATTTCAAGCTGTAATTTGATTCTACAACCATGAGGAGTAAATTCGTTTATCTTGTTTTTCCTACTCATATGCTTTTGTTTTTGCTAACAAGTAGGGAGGGAGAATATCAGAAAATATTCTCATTTTGAAGTTCTCATTTTTATCTTGTATTTAATGAAATTGTTGGTTATAGAAGGCCTTATACTGTATGAGAGGACTGTATGGATTTTATTTGGGATCTATATTTCAAAGGAAAATGTACCAATTAAAGGTTTCTTCCAAAAGGCAGCTCAATAATTGAAAAAAATATTTGGTGAAATTTAGTTCTTGACTTACTGCCTTTCTTTTCTGAAGCTGAAGGCAGTGAACACAGAGCTGGGCTAAGGCAGTGGTTGTCCCAAAGTCATCCAGTCCAATCTGGGCTTAATGCTTCCTTTAGCTAATATCTTATTTAGTTTTATAAAGTGGCAATTTTTGGTCAAAAGAACAACACAAGAAAAATGTATACAGTGTTCTGTATAAATCAGACTGGGAGGCTTAGTTAGTTCGTATTGATTCCTTGACCAAATGGTTTGGTTCCTTTACTTGCTGTTCGCTCTTATTTGTGGAATTGGTATTGGGCAATGCATGGATAAGACTTTCAAGTAAGGCAAGAGTTTGTTATTTTACCCTCCTTAATTGACATCTATTTTTATGGACCGGTCTGAGCAATAACATGGAGGAGGATCAGATATCCATTGAAGGTGAGGCCCTTCCCAAGAAGGCTTATGATCCTCAGGACTCTCCGTGACATTCCCTCAAAGAAGAAACTTTTAGCAAATGTTCTCTAGATATCCTACTGGCTTATTTTTAAGTAAATGTAAATGAAATGAAACCAGATTTGGAATTTGTTTTGTCCAGAATCCACTTGATACTTTTGAAGAATGGTGAAATTGAATTTTCAATCGGGGGGAAAAAATCCATCACTGATATAAGAGGGAAATTATGTCAGATTACTCACTATGATGAATGCAAGGCAAAAGACTTGAAAATAAACTGCTGAGCCAAATTATAGCTAACAGCATTCCTTGAAGTATCCCATTCCCCAGCTCCATCATCAGCCACGGCACATGGCATCAGTATTGCTTTTTGAAAAGGGTAATAATCAAATTGACTTCAACAGCCACAAGTAGGTAGCTTTTTGAAGAACAGAAAGCTAGAACTTAGCAAACAGAGAACATTGTATACAGCAGAAAGATGGAAGTTGCAACCAAATATTGAAAAGCTAGGTTTAACAAGTGCTAATCTAGTATTTATTAGAGTTGTGGACAACAATGAAACCAGTAACTTTACTGCCCTTTCATCTGTTCTTTTGTTCAAAGTCAGTACCATTGCAAAACCCCAAAAAGCTTCACTTGCTTTCCCAGATTTTACTTCTTCATAAGAAGAATATAGTCTCAGAGTCATATAATTGGAGAGGACCCTTTGGTCTAATCTACTGCCCGTTGTAGCAATTGAAAGTAGAGCATCCCAAGCAAATACCGGTATATATCCAGCCATTACTGCAACAAACCCAGCAAATGAAAGCTCAGATAACTCGATCCCATTGATGAACTACCCTTGTAGAAGCATTTTCTGCTATTCAACTTCCACAATCTGCACTCTTAAGATTAAAAATGTACTGGATTTTTCTACGTGACATTATTTTAGGTATTTGAAGAATGCTGTCATATCCAGTTTTTTCTCCTCTAAACATACCCAGTTCTCATAGTTCATCTTGCACAATTGAGTTTTCTGTTCTCTGATCGCCTTTATTATCTTTGGTTACGTCTCCAAATTCTTTTTAAAAAGTGAGGCCCGGAAGTAGACACAGCATTCATAATGGTTTCTGACAGATGTAGAACAGAACCTTTTTTTTTCCACTTTAAGGCTTAAGGACGGTAAAGGCCAGAAAAGAGTAAGGTTGAGAACCACTCCAGCATCAAAAAATCTAAGTAAACTTTGCAGGAGGTAAGCAGTACAGAGTACAGTCAGGAAAGTGCAAGGAGATGGGAGTCCAAGGCTGGAGTTAAGTTGAGGCTTGAAATATTTTTGTAGCAGTAAAATGCTCCTTAGTGAATGCCTTATATATACAATAGCATGAAGGGGCATATCTTAGTCCCAGCTGTGAGTCTTAATGCGGATAAGTCCACAGATAACCATCTCCCCTCTAGCCCTTTCAGTCCATGTGTTGCTGTGCAAAAATATCACCGATGTTACTGAAAGATACCTGGCAAGTCGCAGTTTCTCTTTATCGTTTCAAGCACTTCGGTATAAACAGAGTAGTTTTCTTCACTATATGTAAAATTATGTACTGCTGTGCAGAAAGCTCGCCAGGATCCTATCGTTCAAGAAACAAAGTAATAGTATTTGGATATTTTAACTGACTGTAACTGAATTAGCCTACATAAGAACACCTGTTGTTTAGGAAAGCCAAATTATAAGATGAACTGGCCCCCTGTGTTGTAAGACCCTTTCTTAACCTCCTAGAAGAAACTGGTTAAAACATCATATTTCATAAATAATTTATAGAAATTCTTGACATTGTATATACCACCAGGAAAATCCGAGGGCAGGTTGAAGGTGCAGAACTCTAGATTGAGACTGATGGAAATGTTATTATTTTAATGAGTTTAAATCTCTTAAGTCTGAATGAATTGCATCAAAAAACAATAAAGGAGCCTGTTGATTTTACCCTTTCAAACTCTGGAGAATTCGGTACAGTGCCAAATGCCTGAAGGATGACACATATTGTCCCTGTCTTCTGAAGAGGCAAGGGACAACCCAGGGAACTGCCAACCGCTGCATTTGAAATACTTTCTTTTCATTTGGTTGTATTTGAGTTTTTAATATATGTTAGTGACCCATAGTGACTGTTGCCAGATGGGCAACCATATAAATTGAATGAAAGAAAAGTAAATAAACAAATTGGAGAACAAAAAACTTCAAACATTCCTATTTGTTAATTCTGTCCAAAAGAATATTTGTTTACACCAATGTAAACTGTGGGAAAAGCTTTGTTAATGTAATTAAGAAATAGAAAATAGATTTGTATAAAATTATCCAATGTATAGTTTTTCAAAGTTCTTTGCTGTTGGGTTGATTCCTCATCCAAAATAATTTCATATACTTATAAATATGATTGATCCAAAAAAAGATGTACTTTGATTTTTGGATATTTTTAACAATAAAGTTGATAATTAATCTATTGCACAAAGTTACGCCAACAGTAAAATTCATAACTTAAAACTGTTGAGGCAAATGAATAACTGAATGCCAACTGGAAATGGTAAAATCTATCAATGTTTATATTTACCTCCATGGACAACTACTACATATTATGTAATTTTAGAAAACGTGTCAGGGAAACAAATTTGGTATAGGTGATAAGGCACCAGGCTGGAAGCTGGGAGATCATGAGTTCTAGTCCCACCTTATACACAAAGTCATCTGGATGACATTGGGCCAGTCACTTTCTCTCAGCCTTAGGAAGGAGGTAATGGCAAACCTTGTCAAGAAAACTGTCCAGGTGGTTGTCCAAGAGTCAATACTGACTTGAAGATAGATCCAAAGAAAAAAAAGCATATAGATCCAAAGAAAAAAAAGTCCAAGTGAAATTATCTTTTGGGTTGATTTTTCATGGCTTTCATGATTTTTTTGCCCATTTATAAATACCTAATACTTCTCCCAGAATGTTTTCTATGCTCAAGAAAAATTCTAAAATATCATTATAATTTGATGTGAGTTTTCAGAGATATTTACTTTCCTATCACTCATGTACCCTCCCAACACTAACCAATCTGTATATCACTGTCATGCACCCCAACCCCCATGTCATCACTCCGCAAAGCCTCTCCTTCCCTACCTGGCAGAAGCCCCTTACCTGTCTGCTTGCCTGGAACTTCCAACTTTCTGCTGGCTTCTTCATTGATTTTCCTTGTGCAAAGCTGGCAGTGGAAGTGATGTTCACACAACTAAAGCTAACTGCAGCAGTGAAGGGGCTACAGCTTTTCCAAATTTCAATTCCGTAGGAATAATAGGTCCTGGATTTTGGAGGTTGTAAATTAACCCATTTGAAGTACCTTGCTTCAAAAATGGTTGCCCTATGATGTGCTTGAAGGTTACAAACAAACACAAGATTTTTACAGTAGTAGTATAACAGTAGATTGTACAGACTTCAGTAAGTATTAGAACTATTCACCAAAAAATTTAATGGTGGCAATGGATGAGATTTGGTAAAGCTTATGGAGAAAAGATTCAACTTTCAAATAAAATGACAGACAACCCAAGATTTGATTATTCAGAGGATTTCAAAACCAATTCTATAAAATACTTCCACAAGAAATAATGTGCGCGCAAAACGTAAAATCACCGAACCAGTAGTTACACCGGTCGGATCCCACCTCTGAATAAGGGAGAAAAGATAAAGTGTTGAAAGCTATCTCCAGCTTTTCCAAATATCCATGGTAAATTATAGATATAGATTTGTAGTAGTAAATATTCATTTTTTTGAAGAAAAAAAAATCGGGCTTTTAGAGAATCCAGTGCTAATTCACTGTGTAATAACTAACCATTATTAGAATTTTTAATCACATTATTGTTTGAAAAGTAATAAAATGGTATTTTAAATATGATATGATGATTTGATGATTGTTTGAGTAGCTACCAACTAACCTGGATACTTTTGATTGGAGTTTTTTGAGCAATTATTCAATGAATAAGCTACATATTTGCAAGATTTATTTCTTGATCCAATTTAAAAGATTTCTGCACAATATTTTTTAAAGTCCTTATGAGAGAGGAAGTTGGGACAAATACTTTTTGATATTTGATAAATCCTCTTCATATTCAAGAATTGATATAGACAAACTCCTGAGGATCACACTAGAACAAACAGGACTAAGGGCACTATGATCTCTCCTGTATAATTATATTCTTCTCTCAAGCCTTCCTAATATTACAAGTCAGAAACTTTTAACCCTAATGTCTCTGGAATCTTGAAAATAAGGTCATGGCGTCTCATCCATCTCGAAATGAAATTCTTTGAATCATAGAAAATATTGTGTAAGGTACAGTAGACAAACTATTGGTGAAGAATATGTAAGAATGGAACTATACTGTACATTGTACAATTATACATCGTATAAATATACTTGTTTGCTTTTCTTTTGGGGAAAAAATTATCTTTTTGAAATGATTACCAAACTGTATTTGACAAACTACTGTCCCTACAAGGATCATAGAGATTTGTAGTAGTTATAAAGCTGTTGATTCAAGCAAACCAGGACAAGCTGCACAATTTTCCTTCCTATAATCTATGGTTGTTCTAGAGCAGGTTTACTTCCTCTTTCTTTTCACTTTTTATTTCTGATGTTGACACAATTTCCCCCAATATACTCTTTCTGCACTAGTTGAGTTTCCATATTCTCTGTGATGTCTTTCTTTATCTTCATTTCCTCATTTCCTCCTCTGCTTTCCATCAGCCTCCAAAAAAGATATGGGATTATACTCCTGGAGATTGCTCTATCCTTACTAGAGAGGATAGAAAGGTAATTTAAATATATAATGTATGCAATATAGTTGTGTGTGTATATATTAGAGCTTATCTTTCATCTGTAGCAGTGCTTGAATTGGAGTGATTTGAATTTAATTGAATATATATATATATATGTAAGTAAGTTTTCGCGTGTACTTACATGTATGGTATTCAGCTTTGTTCGGGTATTTTCCCATGTCATTATAGTTGTGCTTTTAAAGTTGTAGCGACGTTTCAGCAGAATCTCATCTGCCATCATCAGGCTTCTATATTGAAGACATACATACACAGACGAACACAATACAGAAGCCTGATGATGGCAGATGAGATTCTGCTGAAACGTTGCTACAACTTTAAAAG